CGGCCAACTATCACTGTTGAAAGCAGGCTGATCCCATCAGTACAGAGTAAGTTTTCTGGTCTGCTCTTAAAGATCCAGTGTGCCATTTTGAGTGGAAATTGAAACTTCAAAACCAGCTAAATTGCAAATGCTGTTCCTAGCTCTGCTTTTAAATTTAAGACAAGGGAGGCAAGTTGTCTGCACCCTGCTCAGACCAACCATGAAGAAAAAGCTACTGCACATGACAGAGGATAAAATGAGAGTTCTAGCAGCTGTTGCCCCTGCCCCCACAACATTGTAGGGTTGTTTAATAATATACATTTTATTTCATGAACAGTGTGACCCTTTCTCCTCAAAGTCAGCATATGTCTTAAAATCTTCACTTCACCTCTGTTCAACAGCAAATTGTTTAGGGTCCTGATTTTCACTTGGTCAAGCAGTTAACTTCTTTCAGGGTTGAAAGGTTTTACATTTACCATTGTCCTCTGTCTTCTGAAGTGCCTTCCAATCTCCTTGATTTGGTGGATTTCAACTATAATGGTCTCTCACAGCCTGGCCACTGACTGCCTTTGAGGTCTTGAGCAAGTCACTTAACATCTGTAAAATGAGGATAATACTTACCTGCGTTGGGGGGGGGCAGGGTTGGGATTATTTAGTGTTTGCAAAGTACTTTGAAGATGAAAGTACTAAATAATATTACCACCTAGTGCTTATATAGTGCTTTTCATCAGATAATCTCAAATGCTTTACAAAGGAGGTCAATAGCATTCACTCCATTTTACAGATGGGGAAACTGAGGCATAGGGATGGGGAGTGACTTGCCCAGGGTTATCCAGCAGGTGAGTGGGAGAGCCAGAAATAGAATTCAGGTCTTCTGAGTCCCAGGCCAGTATGCTGTCCAAAGTGCTAAGACACTGGAAGGAGGGGAAACAGAGGGATGGGGTAATACCACAAATGATTTAAATTATTACATTGATTAAATTTAAAAAGTTAATTAAATTAAAAGGGTTTGATTGACAGCTCTGCCAACATCATGCTCGGTCCAGCTAAGTGGAGTGGAGGCCAAATCTGAGCCATCCCAATTTTGTTAGCTAAATCTTCGAAAAATAGTGTTAGAAAAATGACTGATGAAAAAAATATCAAATTGAAACTGATCTCAGATGGAGTGTTAGCTGTGTGGATATGGTTACCCCATATATATGCATACTTATTAATAACCAGTCATTGCTCCTACTTGTAATGCAAATCCCTCAAGAGAGCTGGTTAAAAATATCCAGATGGATAAAATAGCCAACAACATGAATGGGAGTGGTATTCTATTTTACCTGAGAACACCCAAAATTGGGGTTTATATTAAATATAAGTTGCGCCTTAAGGAGATTTCAGTACATTTTTCTCTCTCTCTCTTCATAGCATTAGAGGCTGAAAGGATGTTTGAATCCAAAAGATTGAATAAGATTGACCTTGAAAACAAGACTGCTCAGCAAACTGAGTCTGACCTGAAGGGCAAGAGAATTGGTGCAAGAAGGCCACTTCCACCCTTCTGATGGCCTCATGCTAGGCCCAGATCTTTGAAGCTCTGGCTCTAGTCTCACTCAGGCCTCTTACTCAGTTAGAACTCCAGTCAGTGCAAATTGTGGCCTGACTTTACGCCATTGTAACAGATCATCGCCAGCAAAAACTGACCTTCAGAAAAATTCTGCTGTGAGTAAGGACTTCAAGTTTTGGCCCGTTACTTCCAGGAATTCTCGTGACTCAACACTTACCTGCCTAGCAAGGATGAGCTGTCACATACAGCTCAGTTTGTAATACACAGGAAAGCTAGATGTAGGAGATGACTAGGTCATGAATAAATTCCATCCTTGTACTAGTCCCTTCACGTCCATTTTACATTGTTTCTATTATAAAGCTCCCAGGATGAATATCCTAATGCATCATGAATGGGCTAAGTTCATGATCTACAGAAAAGATACAAGTTTATTAATCAATAATTTACAAGGGAATTAGATGCCTGAATACCTTCAAGGATCTGGGCCTTTGTACTTTTCGGGTTTTTTTCAATTCCAGAAGAAATAATGAAGCTAACAGCCACGTTGCCAGTATTTTCTTGTGATATAAAATTAATTGTACATGTTTATGTTTTCTTATTTTTGATAACAAATTGGGTGGGGTGCGGGAAGAAAAGTATCTCACAAAAACATTCAGATCCCAAAACAAGGTTATAAAGTAGCATCTACAAAATGAGATTGTATAGGATGTGTTTGTAACATACAGTTTTAGAAAAGGATTCAATTCTCAGGAGTATGTTAATTTTGATTTGGAGAAAGGCCTTAAGTGTATCTCTTTGGCCTGATTCAGGAAAGCAATTCTTTTCAGGACAGTACTTACATACACGTTTAAATGCCACTGAAGTCAATGAGTTAATTACTTGCTTATAGTTAAGCAGGTATGTAAGTGCCTTCCTGAATTGGGTCTCTCTGAAGTTTGCAATAATTTGATGCAATCTTATGTTTTCACTGGTTAAAGGGACACTGCCAAGATTTAAAAAAAAAACCCCAAAAACACGACCAAATTCTGTACTTAGTTAAATCAGTGTTGAATCAGAGTAACTCCATTCACTTAACGTGACTGTAAAAGTAGCACTTAGCTATTAAAGTGATATGTTCTTTGGGCCAAATTCTGCTGTCACATTAGTTTAAATCTAGAATAACTTAATGAGTTACTATGATCTGACATTGTTGAATTGAGAGGAGAATTTGATTCAGGGAGCAGGTCAGCTGAATAGGAAGGTGCCATTTTTAGAGCCCCCTAATCCAAGTTTAATTTAAAACAAATTTCTATTCATATGAGTTTCTGTGTGTCCTGTTTAAAAAAATAAGCAAGCCCAAATGTTGGGCCTAACCTAAAAGTGACAGTGTAGTCAATTTGTAATCAAATTCTGTCAGATATTGGGGTAAATATTAAACAGAACTTCTCTCATGCTTCTTAGTTTTCTTCTCAACATTTCACTAAGAAAGCCATCTAAGCTCACTAAAATCAATAGGAATCTATCTATTGACTTCAATGAGTTTGAATCAAGCCCTAAAGGCCTACTGTGGTCCCTAAATTCCATCTTCAGACATGCAGCAGCACCATATTGGTAGAGAGAGTAGGATGCTTCGTTCCTTTGGTTTGGGGTTTTTATCCCCCTTCTGCCTCGTGCTCTGAGCTGCAACCTCAGCTGATGGGAGGAGTCCCCTTGCATGACTCATCTTCATGGGGAGGCAAGCCGAGCAATCAGAGTGTTTCGTCCTTTTGTTGACGTTTTATCCATCCAGATGTAGGAAGTTTCCAGTTGTAAGATCCAACTCTATCCCGTCTCTTTCAGGAGGGGCGTAACAGTTTCTGTAGAAGAGCAGCTCCTCACACTAATTACACTCCTCTCCTGTATGGTGAATAAACTGCAGCGAGCAGCCTTTTAAAGCTTTTTTTAAAGTAGATTCTGCAACCGGGAGCTAATCACACTCACCAGTCAGAAATTAAAAAAAAAACAAAAAACCACCAACAAAAAAGCAGAAGCCCATCCCCCACGGGCAACACCCAGAACAAGCAACAGGCTAGTTAAATAAATGAATAGGCAATTACTACACAAAGAAGCCTAATTAGGCTTTCTGGGTGCCACCTTGGCAGCCTTCACCTCAATACCATCATTGTATTTCCTAAAAAGCTCAAAATGCTGCATCCACTGGTTAAGTCAAAACAGTAACTAGCATTTTTGCTGACTATATTCCTTTGCTTTACACATTAACTACACTACCCCTTGACAACTCCATTCCTGAAATATATTAAGTCTTCCTTTTTGATTCCTTTCAAAATGGTGCATTGTTCCACAATATGACAATAACTGTTCAATCTCTGTCTTCCCTTTCTCGTTATCTATCCTGAATTGTTCCATCACACTTGTAGGCCTGGCTTGACATAAGTAACTTGCCTAATTTCTTAGTGGGCATAATTGGGACGTGAATGGAAGGTTAAGTTGCAAACAGGGGCTTGACAAACAATATGCTGGAGTCAGGATGTCTGTGCTAGCTAAGATAAGCAGCAATACCTTGATGCTAGGGACTATGGACAAGATAAAACTAGACTGTAAAGATCAGGTTCCACGAGAACAGCACATGGATTGGTTCCTGCAAAGTAAGAAAGCCAATCCAAAAATATGTGCTGTAATGTACAGCAAATACACTGTAATGTGTGAATGTAAAAAAAGGGAGCGGTGGTCTATGTAATTCTGAATGGGTGGTATGCCTGGGCTATACCCATCCCCTCCTCTTGAGTCTGATCAACTCAGTGTAGCTTTGCTGTATGACAAATAAAGGAACCTGCGTTATGAAATCCAGGGTTGAACTGTGTGTTTTGGCTCCCAGAGAAGGGAACCGGATGGCATGTTCTCCCAGAACTGGACAAGGTGTTCTGGATAAACTGAATGCAAAAGGTCTCGGAGGGAATCCCAACAACACTACACTGCATCTTAAGCAACATATTTTCTCAGCTGTCATGGTTCACTGGATACTGGGTATGCCATGTATGAGTTCTGTAACAAGGATGATCATTCTGTTGATGAGACAAGAAAAAAAAAAAGCTCTAATTATTTTTAAACTGGGCTGTTGCTATATCAATTATAATTAAAGTGCCCAGAGTCTCAGTTTTGGGATAAAAGATCTCTGCAGGCTGATAATTTGGGAATGAAAGATGCATATTCACAGGTCTCTGAGCCCAGCTTTTACCTTGAAATGCGAGATGCAGCGCAACTGCTAGTTAGTACATCTCATCAGCACAGGTTACACAGAGAACTGTTCCATACTAAGTATATGTTGTTGTTTTAAACCTCCAACAACTAAACACACACTAGCATTGGGCAGGGGAAGAAATGGAAAGTAAGATAAAAGGCATAGGTCCATTTGATTTGACATATAAGGTGCTCAGATAGCACAGTGAAGATTGCAGTGTAAGGACAGAAAACATGGACAGAAAACACACCTACATACATTTTAAAGTGTATTTTTATTTACACAGTGGAAATGCCTAATCAGTTATAAGTTTAGGCACCTGATAATTCAGCTTTTTTTGTGTGTAAAAGTATATAAATATATACATGACAGGCTTATGAAGTAAACATTATAAACTGTGATACTTACAGTAAACATTCACTGCTCTTTTCTAGGCTAACAGGCGTCTTGTAAAGCTTAAACACTGATTTCAAGTATCCCCTATAAAATCGCTCTACTACATCAAAATGCTGAAAAAGAGAGATCTGCTATAAACAAGCTTTTAAAATAGACTAATAAAATGTCCCTGTAGGAAAGTCCACCAGGATAAAATACTGCCTTATTTTCCCACCCTCCTCCCACTGCGGCAGAAACAAATGCTAAAAAATAGTTGCATACCCACAGAAGGCATTATTGAAATTTTTAATTAAAACGTTTTTACTTCAGTAATTTATCAAAGAGTAAGGAAGCTGCAAAAATGCAACTTTATTAAATATTCTTTTTCCTGGTACACAAGGAACCCCAGCACTACGGAGGGGCGTAGTGGTACTGCATTGTCTTGCCCTTCACCATGTACTATAAGTGGCCTGAAGGACAGACTGCGCGGAAGAGATGGCTGACAGAGAATGAAGAAAAGGACTGGAATAATATTGGCAGAACCAACAAAATACGCAGGAGCCTCTGCTTCTGTTGCCTTTTTTTTTTTTTAAATTAAAAAAGCACTGCGGGCGCTGGTATTTTATTTGCCTCTCTTCTGTTCTTCAGCTTGGAGATGTTTCAGGACATAGAGGACAACCTGATAGCAGAAAACGTACTGATCCTGTGAGAGGAAGAATCATAAACACGTTAATCAAAATGTTCACACTCGCTAAACAAGGTGCCTCTACCTGTACTTCACAGGTGGCGGAGTTCCTGACTTGAATACGGTTTCATATACATTATTAACGAGAGAGTGTGATGAGTGAATGTTATGAGACAATGTTTAAAGAGAACAAGGGGGTGAAGAATGGGCTTCTCAGTTTTCAAGTGTACTTCATGTGGATTCACCTCCTGGTTAATATTTAGTTTGATTCCTAATCCCACCATCACTTTGTCCTTATATAGGGCCTGTCATCTGCAGACCTCAGAGCAGCTTACAAATGAGGAAAGGGAAGCACCAAGAAGTGAAGTGATGGGACCAAGGTCACACAGCAGGTCAGTGGCACAGCTGGGAATAGAACCCAGGTCTGTGATGCAACCTCCCAGTTTACAATGAGGATACCACAGGGTTTGGGGCTATTTCTGGATAATTCTGTATTTTTTATTAAATAAGGGTTGAGAACTCCCTGATTTTGTATTCACTGTCTTCTCTAGGTTCAGGTTAGGAGGCTTTTTCAACCTTTCCGTCCGAAAAGCCATCCATCCAATTACCATACTGCTATGGATAACAGCAGCAGATAAAATGCAGTTGCTTTTTTTAGCCTTAGAATAGGTAAAAAGACACTAATATGCTATTACTTCCAGTTGGAGTAAAAGTGTTTCTCAGAATGGAATAAGGGGTTTAATGCAAGAATTCTCAAATGAGACGATGTCAGATCTTTCATAGATTAACACAGTTCACTACATGTAAATTTGCACACACTTATACTTGCCAGATTTATGTTTGCATGCCCTTGTATTTGCACGTGGTGAAGCATATCCAAAAGTACATGCATTATTATGAATTCTGTCCCTATATTAGCATTTGATTTCACTCCAGCAACACTGAGGTTGAGTTTATGGGGTACAAAGTAAGTCATTCTACAATATTTCCTAATCCAGACATCTAGCACAATCTATATGCTTATCACAATTTTTTGAGAGATCAGAAATTCAGTTCAAAATCTTTATTAAAGCACAACTTGATAAACCAAGGTAGACATACCTCCGTCTGAACCATTCCATGTCTCTGTAGTCTCATTGTACGCACCAAATCAGAGATGTCAAACTGCCAAAAGCAAATAGACGGTAGCAACAAGTGAGATGTTATAACAAAACCACATTATATACAGGAAAATACACCTGTGGCACAGCAGGGAATTTTCAGTTTCATCTAGTAAGCAGTCAAATGCCAGTAAATCCACCAAGTTATGGACATACAGTACAGTATATGGAAAGCATACAGTAGATCCTGTACGAGTGCAATAAATACGCGAGATCTGAGTACATCATCTACTTTTCTTTTACCTTTCATTTTACCTGCTCAGCACACCCTTATACTCCCCAGTCTTTATTCTACCAAAGCTAAGTCTGCCAGGGTGCTGCACACTCTGGCCCTAATCAAGCAAAGCACTAAGTATGGGCTCAATTTTAAGTATGTATACACTCCCTTTGACTTCCATGGAACTATAAAAGTGCTCAAAATTAAGCATGTGCTTACATGCTTTGCTGGATTGGGCTCTAATGTGCTGCCAATACACTTTATTTTACATCAAGAAATAGGAAAGCGATTGCTCCATGAATTGGTGGATGGGACGACTTTAAAATGAGGTTGCTAGTGCCCTCCGGTGGACAAGGAGTACATAATCTCTGTGAAGCATGGCATGGCATCCTAAATTCTGTTACAAAAGCTCTTTTACCACATCACTGACTTAGGTTCAGGCATAGGAGCTGGAACAGTGACCTATTTTGGTTTTGCTTTATTGCAGCCTCCTTTGTTTGGATAAAGGGTTGCTAACTACTGCATCCCACAGCTTCTGATTGTATTTATCATAGCTGCCACAAAATGTCCAAACTGTTTATGAAAAAAGCACTGAATGTTTTCTGTTTCATAATTCAATTAAATCAAATATTTAAATGTTACAGTGTAAAGTGTTCAAACTGACCCACATCTCAGAGTAAAATCAGGGAGTTTCTTAAAAACGAGAGTATTAGATCGCTTAATGTTGACTAAAGCACATTTTATAAAAACACTCGTAAGAAGAAATGTGAGTATTTAATTCATTTAGGATAAAGAATTACTACAGTCACTAAATAACTAGGCTTGTCAGAATTATATTTTTTTACAATTTTGATGGATAGTATCCATGTTTATTTTTAAGCTTTTAATATGTTTATTTACATTTTCACAGTTGTGCAAAATGATGGGGCTTATGAATATTTTTCTATTTTTATTTATTTAAATTCACAGTCACAGGAAGTTACGTGGGGGTATCAGACAATAGTTATTTCATGACAACAGATATTGAGATTCAAAAAAAGCTTCATAACCACTGAAACAAATTGTCTGCATCACATGTGAAAATATACAAAGTAAATGTCCTTACACCACTCTCAAAGTTCTCAAGCAGCGTTTTTCTTACTTTGCTGATCTGTAAATTTTGGCCTTGTCCTTCTAACCCTATAAGGGTATGTCTACACCGTGTTCTGGAGCTCGAGGGAGTCTCCCAGTCCCAGTCGACAGACCTGGGCTACAGGGGCTCACGCTCATGCTCTAAAAATAGCTGCACAGACAGCACTTGGAAGTTGCGACTCAGGCTGGAGCTCAGGCTCTGAAACCTAGGAAGATCAAGTGTTTTTAGATTTTTTTTCTTGTGCTCCATATTTCTGCTTTTCACAATTATTGCTGTTTTATACCACATACCTCATAAATCAGGTTAAGGTATAACCAGAGTCCTTGATTCAAAATAGTTGCACACTAGTAAAATAACCAAATAGCTCCTAGGGCTCACAGTTCACTGAGTGAAAAGCACAGTTCAATCTATCCTCTGGGTACTCACATCAAGATCCTTGCTGATTAATCCTAGAACGACATCGATACAAATAAGTGTCCCTGAACGTCCAATGCCTGCACTGCAGTGAGTGATAATAGGTCCCGATTTATGGATGTGCCGCATGTAGGAGATGAAAGTGAGCAGGTCGTCTGGTTGAGATGGTGTGTCATGGTCTGGCCAGGCAGTGAAATTCAGATGAGAAACACGCCGTAATTCACCAGTCTAAGGTTTTAAAAGAGACAGAACAAATATAGGCAGAAATGGCAACGCAGACTGCCAGAAGTTGTAAGACTGGCCTAAGAACATTCTGTGGCCAAACAGCTCACTGTGAAGGGAGACTTGCCAATTAACAGTGACCCAAAATTTAGGGTTTGTGAACAGAACAATTTTTACAATGCCTGACATGATTACAAACCTGAATTTGTTTGAATTTCAACCTTTTCCTGCCATGTGTGGAAAATAAGCCTGATGAGAGTGTATTAGAGCTTGAGAGCAAAGGACATGGACTATGCGCAAAGGTGAAAGTGACCAGTTTAGTTTCATTGTCCTAGCTGCATTACTAGCACAAAGTCATCCATCCAGGAAACTGACCCTACAAATGAATTTAATTTTAATAAATCTTTCTGTTTCTAAAGCTAAGGCATTATCAGTAACGCATATATGGGGCCATGTCCTGACCTGCTCTTATAGAGGCACATTAGCATTGTGAGGTGATGTCCTTGAGCACTGGAGAAATGCTACCTGCTGAAAAAGTCTCCACCTAGCTTATGCAGAATTTTATTCCAGTGGTGAAAGAAGCTGCTCACTCAAATTCCTACATGGAGGAAGAGTGGCCCAATCATAATAGTCAGAAGAAATAAGGACAAAAAAGATTTTTTAAAAAAGTAATCCTGTGGTTTTTTCAGGATGCGGAAGTTTAGACCAGCTCTGGCTGGACTGAAGGGATCCATGCCAAGCAAACAAAAAAGGAACCTGCCCAATCACCCCAGAAACCCACAGAATGTAGACTGACTTGATTCACTTACTTGAATATCTTCTAGCTCCAGCACTCTAATGACAAAGCCTTTCAACTGTTGCAATCTCACAAGGGCCAGCCGGAGTCGGTCATTGACCATGATAGTTTTGCCAAGTACATCGGGCCAATAGCGCTGGCATTTTATCTTTTCTCCTTCTACTTCCTGGGTCATCATGGCTATTACAGTACACTTTTGTTCCCAAGTCATTTGCCAGAAGTCTGCTACTGTAGTAGGGAGTGGTCCTTGACATGCAATGTAGACAAATTCTTCATTCCCCACGGGCATTCTAATGAAGCTGGCATTGATGTATCCACCTTCAGTTCCTAGGGACACTCTAGTGGTATCATCTGCAATCCCAACATAGAAAACATATTTTAATTATATATGTCCATACTAGGGCTGTCAAGCGATTAAAAAAAATCGCGATTAATCGTGCGGTTAAAAAAATATTTGCCACGATTAATCACACAAATAATCGCACTGTTAAAAATAATAGAATACCATATATTTAAATATTTGTGGATGTTTTCTACAATTTCAAATACATTAATTTCAATTACAACACAGAATAGAAAGTGTACAGTGCTCACTTTATATTTATTTTTATTACAAATATTTGCACTGTAAAAAACAAAAGAAATAGTATTTTTCAATTCACCTAATACAAGTACTGTAGTGCAATCTCTTTATCATGAAAGTTGAACTTACAAATGTAGAATTATGTACAAAAAATAACTTCATTCAAAAATAAAACAATGCAAAACTTTAGAACCTACAAGTCCACTCAGTCCTACTTCAGCCAATCACTCAGACAAACAAGTTTAGTTACAATTTGCAGAAGATAATGCTGCCCACGTCTTGTTTACAATGTCACTTGAAAGTGAGAACAGGCGTTCTCATGGCAGTGTTGTAGCTGGCATTGCAAGATATTTACGTGCCAGATGCGCTAAAGATTCATAAGTCCCTTTATGCTTCAATCACCATTCCAGAATACATGTCCATGCTGACGATGGGTTCTGCTCTGGGTCCAGTGCTGTATCTATCTTTAGAAATCTCACATTGGTACCTTCTTTGCGTTTTGTCAAATCTGCTGTGAAAGTGTTCTAAAACGAACATGTGCTGGGTCATCATCTGAGACTGCTACAACATGAAATATATGCAGAATGCAGGTAAAACAGAGCAGGAGACAAACAATTATCCTCCAAGGAGTTCAGTCACAAATTTAATTAACGCATTATTTTTTAAACGAGCGTCATCAGCGTGGAAGCATGTCCTCTGGAATGTTGGCCGAAGCATGAAGGGGCATATGAATGTTTAGCATACCTGGTATGTAAATACCTTGCTATGTCTGCTACAAAAGTGCCATGCGAAAGCCTGTTCTCACTTGCAGGTGACATTGTAAATAAGAAGCAGTCAGCAGTATCTCCTGTAAATGTAAACTTGTTTGTCTTAACAATTGGCTGAACAAGAAGTAGGACTGAGTAGACTCGTAGGCTCTAAAGTTTTGCATTGTTTTGTTTTTGAGTGCAGTTATGTAACAAAAAAAAATATATCTACATTTGTAAGTTACACTTTCATGATAAAGAGATTGCTCTACAGTACTTGTATGAGGTGAATTGAAAAATACTCTTTCTTTTATCATTTTTACAGCGCAAATATTTGTAATAAAAAATAACAAGTGAGCACTGTACACTTTGTATTCTGTGTTATAATAGAAATCAATACATTTGAAAATGTAGAAAAACATCCAAAATATTTAATAAATGGAAATTGGTATTCTATGGTTATAAATGCAATTAATTTTTTTAATCACAGTTAATTTTTTTTAGTTAATCGCGTGAGTTAACTGCGATTAATCGACAGCCCTGGTCCATATACCCACAATTAAACCTAGGTCATGTAAACACTTATGGAGTACTTTTCATCTCACAAATATTAATGAATCATCACAACATCCTATTTGAAAAAAGTATTAACTCCACATCACATAAGGAAAAAGAGGCAGCGAGGTTAAGAATCTGATTATCAGTGGTGCAGAGCCTTTGCTGTTGTCACGGACAAGAACTGAAGTTCTGGGCTTTCAGCATTCCTAGAAATCAGGCTCTGTGGGTATGTTTACAGTCAGAGCTGGGGGTGAAATTCCCAGCTCCAGGAAACATGCTCACGCTAGCTCTTATCAGGTTAGATCACTAAAATGAGAATGTGGCCTCAGCAGTGCAAGCAGCGAGATGGGCTATTGCCCCAAGTGCATGCCCGTCAGAGACCCTAGATACACACTAGGGGAAGCTTGCCCCTCCCCCTGTCACAGCTATGAGTTAGCACAAATATGTCTCCTCAAGCTGGGAATCACATCCTCAGCTCAAAGTGTAGACGAACCGATAGTGTCTTACCCACGGTTTCAGAGAGACTCTGTCAGAGCAGAAATTAGAACTCAAGACTTTCTGGCTCCCAGTTCTAGACTCAGACTTTACGTCTCTTGCATATGTAACTAACGGAATATAAACATAATTCTTTTATAGTGAGATTGATACAGTATATTAATATTAATTATTATACTTTTGCACTCCAGATTTACAATGGTATAACTAAGAGCACGGTCTGTCCTCCTATGTTTATGTCTATCGTATGTGACAAACAGGATCTGCTGCTTAAATAGAATTAAAGTTTTATGTGAGAGTGGAGGGAAAGGATGGGAGGCACAAAATAACAAGCAGGTGCACTCATAGAATGATTTTCATCCACATATCGCAAAGTGCTTTAAAAGGGTGGGCAAGCAGCATTATCTCTTTGTTACAGATAGGGACAATAGGTGCAAAGAGGTTTAATGGTCTGTCCAGTCACACACTAACTCAACAGAAGAACTGGGAATAGGAGTCAGGACTTACCAGTCTGATGTCAAAGCCACCAGACCACACTGCTTTTCTGGTGAAATCAACATAAAAGTTTATCATCAGATTACTTAGGACTTACAGGGAAGTATATTTTTATATCTGTTCTTCCTCCTGTTCTCTTTAGTTTGTCCAACCAAACACTGATCCAAAGGCTTTAAGTCTTGCAGGTTCTATAAACAGATAGTCAGTTCATATTAATAACTGCTGGGATAAACAAAATGTCATCAATTTTTAACTGTCAAGTGACTAACAGTATCTATTAGACACATATAGAAATGACAGGTTTCAGAGTAGCAGCCGTGTTAGTCTGTATTCGCAAAAAGAAAAGGAGTACTTGTGGCACCTTACTGACTAACCAATTTATTTGAGCATAAGCTTTCGTGAGCTACAGCTCACTTCATCGGATGCATTCAGTGGAAAATACAGTGGGGAGATTTATATACACAGAGAACATGAAACAATGGGTGTTATCATACACACTGTAAGGAGACTGATCACTTAAGATGGGCTAATACCAGCGGGGGGGGGGGGGGGGGAGGGAAGAGGGAAGAAAACCTTTTGTAGTGATAATCAAGGTGGGCCGTTTCCAGCAGTTGACAAGAACATCTGAGGAACAGTGGGAGGGGGGAAGGGGGGGAATAAACATGGGGAAATACTTTTACTTTGTGTAAATGACCCATCCACTCCCAGTCTCTATTCAAGTCTAAGTTAATTGTATCCAGTTTGCAAATTAATTCCAATTCAGCAGTCTCTCACTGGAGTCTGTTTTTGAAGTCTTTTTGTTGTAATATTGCGACTTTTAGGTCTGTAATCGAGTGACCAGAGACACTGAAGTATTCTCCAACTGGTTTATGAATGTTATAATTCTTGACATCTGATTTGTGTCCAATTATTCTTTTACGTAGAGACTGTCCAGTTTGACCAATGTACATGGCAGAGGGGCATTGCTGGCACATGATGGCATATATCACATTGATAGATGTGCAGGTGAACGAGCATCTGATAGCGTGGCTAATGCAATTAGGCCCTATGATGGTGTCCCCTGAATAGATATGTGGACACAGTTGGCAATGGGCTTTGTTGCAAGGATAGGTTCCTGGGTTAGTGGTTCTGTTGTGTGGTATGTGGTTGCTGGTGAGTATTTGCTTCAGGTTGGGGGGCTGTCTGTAAGCAAGGACTGGCCTGTCTGCCAAGATCTGTGAAAGTGATGGGTCTTCCTTCAGGATAGGTTGGAGAGGTTTTAGTTGGGGGCTGAAGGTGATGGCTAGTGGCATTCTGTTATTTTCTTTGTTGGGCCTGTCCTGTAGTAGGTGACTTCTGGGTACTCTTCTGGTTCTGTCAATCTGTTTCTTCACTTCAGCGGGTGGGTACTGTAGTTGTAAGAATGCTTGATAGAGATCTTGTAGGTGTTTGTCTCTGTCTGAGGGGTTGGAGCAAATGCAGTTGTATCGTAGAGCTTGGCTGTAGACAATGGATCGTGTGGTGTGATCTGGGTGAAAGCTGGAGGCATGTAGGTAGGAATAGCGGTCAGTAGGTTTCCGGTATAGGGTGGTGTTTATGTTTATGTGACCATCGCTTCTTAGCACCATAGTGTCCAGGAAGTGGATCTCTTGTTTGGACTGGTCCAGGCTGAGGTTGATGGTGGGATGGAAATTGTTGAAATCATGGTGGAATTCCTCAAGGGCTTCTTTTCCATGGGTCCAGATGATGAAGATGTCATCAATATACACCAAATACTGTCATCTAATACAGTGGGAAGATTTATATACACAGAGAACATGAAACACACCCATTGTTTCATCTTCTCTGGGTATATAAATCTCCCCACTGTATTTTCCACTGAATGCAGCCGATGAAGTGAGCTGTAGCTCACAAAAGCTTCTGCTCAAATAAATTTGTTAGTCTCTAAGGTGCCACAAGTCCTCCTTTTCTTTTTGTGGATACAGACTAACACGGCTGCTACTCTGAAACCTATAGATTCATAGATTCCAAGGCCAAAGGGACCATTGTGTGATCATCTAGTCTGACCTATGTGTAATACAGGCCATATAATTTCCCCAAAATAATTCCTTTTGAACTAAAGAATATTTTTTTGTAAAACATCCAATCTTGACTTTAAAATTGCCAATGATGGAGAATCCACCATGACCCTTGGTAAATTGTTCTAATGGTTAATTAACCGCATGATTAAAAATGTACACCTCATTTCTAGTATGAAAGTGTTTAGCTACAACTTCCTGCCATTGGATCTTGTTATACCTTTCTCTGCTAAACTGAAGAGTCCATTATCAAGTATTCGATCCCCATGTAGTTTCAATTTACAGTCACACCATATGGGAGTAAGGCATGCAGCCTTGCAAAAAAAAAAAACAACCCTATCTTCTTGTAATTACTTTGAAATCTTGTCCTGGAAGTTTTAATATTTGGTAACATATTAACAATTTTAACAAGAGTAGAGATTCATGTTTTAATCGTGTCAGCTGGATTTTGCAGAGGTCATTACATTTTCCACCTCAGATGTTCTTGTCAACTGCTGGAAATGGCCCACCTTGATTATCACTACAAAAGGGCTTTTCTCTCTCCTGCTGGTAATAGCTCACCTTAAGTGATCACTCTCGTTACAGTGTGTATGGTAACACCCATTGTTTCATGTTCTCTGTGTATATAAATCTCCCCACTGTATTTTCCACTGAATGCATTCGATGAAGTGAGCTGTAGCTCACGAAAGCTTGTGCTCAAATAAACTTGCTAGTCTCTAAGGTGCCACAAATCCTCCTTTTCTTTTTGTGGATACAGACTAACATGGCTGCTACTCTGAAACCTGTCATCTTATGTGCTGGTTAAAAAATAATTATTAATTAGTATTATTATTAATGGATTTGAAGAAACAGGCAAGTCTCAATCACATTTCTAGATCCAAAGCCAATATAGCTAGTTAATGTAGTTAAACTGAAACAGAGGGGAGGAAAAGTATTCTTTCCTTTCTTTTGCTTTGGCCGTGTAGAATCAAGCCCTACGTTTCTACCTGCTTCACACTGCCCCAGTGAAGAGTATTTTCATTGCATGATTCATATTTAAAAGAGGTCTACAAAGGACTGAAAATAGCCTGTGTTTGTTTACCTCAATCTCCTTGGAAGGAATTCCTTGTTCCAGTAGTCCACGTAACATTCGGATGACTGACTTCAATTTGGCTCCAGTATATTTGCCTGAAGGAAGCACTCTGACAATTGGGAGTGCAGAGAGCTCTTCATTTGTCACTAAAAGGCAATCTAGCAGCAGAAGAAGATTGATTTATGTGCACATATAAAAACAGCTAACAGAAAGGACAGTGTATAGCGTGCTATAGTGCAGTGCTATAAAATGAGAGATTTCCCAGGTACCACCACATCCAGTTTTCAGGTTGTCAATTGCTTATTTATACATATATTTGTTATATTATATAGAAAAGATCACCCATAAGAGAAACAATCCTTCCAGCATTATCTCTTCATTGGTAATGCTTGCTACCTTTTATCACTATTTTCCCCAGAACTGTATACAGATCAATTCATGATTAAAAATGTCAACATTTGAGAAACCATGAATAAGTAATTTTCATCTTTAATTTCCGTGCAGTCAATACGCTGAAATAATCAATAAATGCATTTTTAGAATGGATTCTTGACGCACTGTAATTTGCAAGATCAATGACCATACACATAAATATGAAAGCAGAACTCTGCACTTGAGCCAGAGACCTTATATTTAAAAGTGCAAGCTCACACCTTGCAGTTTTTTCTTTAAAACTTCACCTTAAAATGCATTTTAATGATAAAAGCGTAAGATGTGTTAACTGCATTACAGTTTTTCAAAAAATCTTGGTTTAGAAAAGCACGTCATTCTTTATTCTTTCAAACACCACACAACTTGTTAATAATCAAAGTTTCCTTGACATGAGTTAAAAAATATCTTGTGACCACTGAATCATACAAAAAGTTTACTAGAATAGTTTATGTTGAAGTTTATTTTTCCTAAGTTAAAAAGCACTTTGAAGCACAGATGCCATAGATATGATTTATGAATATGAATTCAGATAATGGAACATATTCCTGAACATATTCAAGATGCTAAAGATAGACACCCAGTTCTGCCACCCTTACTCATGTTGCGCAGAACCTTATTCTGGGAGTAGGTCCATTGACTTCAATAAAGATGGCAAAATCAGACCCGAAGTAATGAGGAAAATGGTGGGAATTTAGAGTGTGGAGTCAGCACTCAATAGATGCCTATAGGATCTCAGTCCAATTGCACATTTCACCATATGCCCTTGCAGCTTTCGTAAAATAGCTATTATGGAAGGGAACTGGCTGCAGCTCTGGCTATGGGCTCAATTCTGCAATCCCTTGCTCAGATGAGCATTCAGTGAATCAGTGGGATTACACCCTTGCGTGAAAAAGGGTTTACAAGCTTGAATTATTATGATCCACTCCGATGAGCTCTTGAGCACCCTGATTTCCCATTGACTGCTCTTCTCAGGACTGGGACCTTAACAATATCCAGAACATGTTCAAATACATTTCTGACATGATTACATTATTGTAATCCTCATTTTCCACTGATTGTTTATTTGTTCAAGTCCTTGCCTTTAGTTCGATGTTCCTGATTTATTGATTCAATAGGGAGTTCATCACTTCCCCATGTAATTTCATCTTCATCTGCTTGTCCCACCAGAGGTTGTTGAGGTGACCTAGAAAAGCAAAGAATGTAAAGGTTTCTCACTTCCTATCAGAACAATACATTTCAATTTTAAATATGAACATTTTCTGTAAACAGAAGACCCTACAACACATGAGATCATTTAGAAAAGTGCAGAATTCTTAAATTTAGATCAAATTTATAAACGACAATAAGAAGAATAAATATTTCATGTATTCCATAGATTCAACCAAAATAAGAGGTTTAATTCCATGATGATAGTTATTAATGTAATACACAGAGATTATGAATCATATTACATAATTCAAATGTAGGGAACTTTCTTAAAAAGAGAGAAACTCAAAAAGGATATTTTCTGGACCAATTCTTATTGTTGTTCCTTGAAGACAGAAGCCTTAGCTTCTAATTATTTTTTAGCCTTACTGAAGTAAATTTAAATGACATATTATCTATAACACACATACTGCACACAAAAAGCTACATTAAAGAGCACGAAAGTTGCAACATCAAGTGCCCAAATATTGAGAAATGCCAGAATTAAGTTTGCTCATGCAACTATATGTGTGTGTGTGCGCGCATGTTACAAATGTAATTATATGATACATACAGACATGTTTTACATCCATTCACACATACCAATGACTTTCTAGTCTGATCTGTATTTTTGCAGGCAAAATGATTATACAAAAATAAACTGAAGTCTGGATTTATTTGAGAAAAACAGCCATTAAGCAGTTAAGTTTTCTGAAGTTTTCCTCATAGCAACACAGTGTAGCTGCCTTTGTTATATTTTACTTTATTATGCTTGAGTCATGACTGAAGATTCTCTCATTTAAGACTAGCAGGAGAAGAACAGAGGAGGAACCTTTGCTGTTAGGTTATTGTATGCATGTCTGAAAGGGACTCAGATACCATGGTGATGCTTGTGGAATAAGAACCTACGTAGCTAAAACATTTCTCCACAAAATATCCGCAGTGCAGATTCCTCACATTCTCAGAGCAGGACACCTCAATCCAGTTTGGCAAGGACCACCATAAGCCTGTCTGGACTTTGGACTACGGAAGGTGGCAGCTACTGGCAGTTTTGATGGTGATATTGATGGGGATGCATTCCCACACGGAAATGTCTGTTCATTCAGTCAGTTAAATCACAGTCAGAAAGAAGCAACTTTCAAACACTGCTGTCCTGGGCTGGATTCAAACAAGCGATCTACAGATTAAAAGTTTCAGCGTTGCAGCCATGTTAGTCTGTATCAGCAAAAAGAACAGGAGTACTTGTGGCACCTTAGAGACTAAAAAATTTATTAGAGCATAAGCTTTTGTGGGCTACGGCCCACTTCATCGGATGCACAGAATGGAACATATAGTAAGAAGATATATATATACATACAGAGAAGGTGGAAGTTGCCATACAAACTGTAAGAGGCCAATTAATTAAGATGAGCTATTATCGGCAGGAGAAAAAAACTTTTGTAGTGATAATCAAGATGGCCCATTTAGACAGTTGACAAGAAGGTGTGAGGATACTTAACTTAGGGAACAGAGTAACAGCCGTGTTAGTCTGTATTCGCAAAAAGAAAAGGAGTACTTGTGGCACCTTAGAGACTAACCAATTTATTTGAGCATGAGCTTTCGTGAGCTACAGCTCACTTCATCGGATGCATCTGATGAAGTGAGCTGTAGCTCACGAAAGCTCATGCTCAAATAAATTGGTTAGTCTCTAAGGTGCCACAAGTACTCCTTTTCTTTTAACTTAGGGAAATAGATTCAATATGTGTAATGACCCAGCCACTCCCAGTCTCTATTCAAACCCATGTTAATGGTATCTACTTTGCATATTAATTCAAGCTCAGCAGTTTCTCACTGGAGTCTGTTTTTGAAGCTTTTCTGTTGCAAAATTGCCACCCTTAGATCTTTTACTGAGTGGCCAGAGAGGTTGAAGTGTTCCCCTACCAGTTTTTGAATGTTATGATTCCTGATGTCAGATTTGTGTCCATTTATTCTTTTGCATACAGACTGTCTGGTTTGGCCAATGTACATGGCAGAGGGACATTGCTGGCATAATGTGGAGGCAACTGGGGGACTATGCAAGCCAGGATCTGAATATTTTTTCATCCTAATTATGTTCCAGTAGTTGAGAAGCAAAATAGAGTCCTACAGCAAATTTGTACTGTTCATAATTCACGACTGATGGCCTTGAACACCCCACTTGACATCAGGTTCTATAGCACTAAATAATATCATGACCTCTCAGATAACATGAACAGACACAAAGCCATCTTATATCAACATGTCAACAGACAGATATATATATACACGGGGTTTGCTTGTGCTTTATCTTCCCTCACTTCACCGAGCTGTAAAAATTATGTTACTCTTAAATTCCACTTAAAAATCTCACCTTTCAGGCACTACTTTGTCTTCACAATGTTCTTCACAACCATTTATTTGTGTCGGCTAGTGAAGGAAGCATTTCAAAGTATAGTGAGTTATGTTGGAAGGGGACTGTACAACAAGCACACTTTTATTTTATAAACCAGAACAATGTTAACAAATAAATTAAGTATTTGTCCAGGGTACCACACTGAAAGCATTATGCACTGACAATCTCTATTCTTCCAGGAAATCCACCCAACCACAAAATCCCCAAACATTCAGCCTCTGCACTGGGGAATGTGGAGCAGTTGGAGAAGTAAAATCATATCCCAGCCTAGAGCCCCTCCCCGGCTCTTCTTCCAGCTTCAGTCTCTCTGTGCTAGTAATGTTGGTTAGGGGTGTGATTTTTTTTTTTTTTTTTGCCAAAAGCCCTAGTGTGTGTACATCTTATTTTCTCCAGAGAACTGGTATACGCTATACTGGGGAAAACACTTTTGGTGATATAAGCTGCATCTACACTTGGAGGGCTTGCCAGTATAACCATAGTGAAGACTAGGACTAGGAAGGAGAGATGGCCTGGCTCTAGTTCTACACATAATCAAATGTTCACCATACTCACTTCCGAAACAATGCAGAGCTCAAATTCCATCAGGCGGAAAATCTGCTTGTGGCTCTGCTCAACATATAACTCAGTGACAATCCCCTGCCAAGTCAGCCTATACCCGTACCCATACATCAAACAGAAAGCGAAAGGACAGAGCACCTGTGAGTTTTGCCCCCAAATGAAATATGTTGCATATGCATGAATAGAAGTAGAATACTCAAGAGAGGTAAGGAGCTTTTTAATTTTATTTTTTGATTAACAGAGCCCAGGCAGTGTAAGTGTAAAAAATGTCAAGAGCGACTCACAACTGAGACCAACTTAGCCCAGCTGCTGGTGCCTGAACCAAGGGGAGTCTCTCTTTTAGATCCCCTACAGAGAGGTTACAGATCAAGGGCCCTGGTGTTGAGTCACAGTTGTACCTGGGCCGGAAGTACAAACAGTGAGTGTACACTGGATAGGGGGATTCTATAAACTGGATACATTTGCTGTGGAGTCTGGACATCTATTAACTGATGCAACATAGGACAACATGGGGAAGTGTAGAGTGAAGGTGGTACAGAATCTGTTTGTGAACATTAGTTTTTCTGAGCAGAAAGGTGAAGTAGCCTCAGATTTGGACTCTTTACAGATACTCCGCAAAATATTTGAAATGCTCTGATTTTTCCTAACCTTCTATGAACTGAGGAAGCTTTCTGGCTAGAATGATTGAAATAGCATTGTATTGGCATTTTATTATCATTACACTTTTAAAAACTGTTGGCTTTCATTACTTCCTGCCAGGAACAGCAAACATAAATTTTCTGGTTTGTTCTCTTGCATGGTTAATTTCTCACAATTTAATTATTATACAGTATTTCAAAAACTATTTCCATACTCTTGGTTTATAAACACTGTTTTCTGGAGGCCAATCAAATGGCAGTGACAGTTAAATTTAAAATGTTGATGAAATTATTTCCACAAATTCAGTGTGATCGAGGGAACGAGAAGTCAATGTAAATAGTCTAGGAAATCGGCAAATAAAGACACTGCCAACATCTTTTCATTTTACCTCTGGAAAGTCTTCAGGCAAAGATGACCCATCACAGTCTGTGTCTTCAGCTTTTTCTTCTGCCAGCTTCCCATTGGTCTCTAAAGAACCTGCTGGAGAAATACATTAGAAGACAGAGCTATACAGAAGTGATGTTATGGGTAGGTTAAGTGAAAATGCTCATATTTCCATTCAAATATAATAAGAAAAATAGTGCCTGCAGCTAAGAAACCAGAAAAAAATTGGTTCTAAGTGTACGAGACCTGACATTCATTCTTAACAACTCTTCACTGTCACTGCAGACCATAGGACTAATGGTAGATTACGGGCCTGATTCTCATTTACACTAAAAGTCCTTTATACCACTTTGGCAGTGTAAAGCAGCCTTAAAGTGTGCACAAACTGCACTGGCACCCAGTAAAGTTCCCTTTACATTGCCAGAGGGGTGTAAAGGGGCCTTGCCATAAATATTAATCAGGCCATCGTACTTCATCATTCTTGGCACAGAATCAAAATTTGGGGTTGTTTAAATGTAGTTTAACTACACGCAAAAAGAAAAGGAGGACTTGTGGCACCTTAGAGACTAACCAATTTATTTGAGCATGAGCTTTCGTGAGCTACAGCTCACTTCATCGGATGCATTCAGTGGAAAAACATGGTTATTTGTATCAGTTTTGAGCTAATGTACCTACTATAAAAGGATGGCAAGATCTTAACCCAGCAACATGAGTCTCACTCACAGTAGGACTAGGTCTACACCTGGATTCTAGTTACTTCCTATATTAATGAGCCATCATAAAATTGAACAGGATAAAATCTGACCTACTTTAGCTATGTCACTGCTGCTACATCTCTCAGGTTTAGCACACCAGCCGTACTGCTGTATACAATGGGCCAGATCCCAGCGGGTGTAAGTTTGGCAGTAATGGAACCACACAGATTTACACCAGCAGAGGCTCTGAGTCTGTAGTTTTAAGAGAATGTTAATAGATGAAAATAGGCCAGCAAGTTCAGGAAGGAGCAGAAGGACAAGGGTTAAAATAGTTATAAACTGGTGAGTGGTGTCTCAAATCTGGTGACCACAGTAACAGCCACCAGAGTTTGCTTTAATTCACTGAACTATGTGCAAGCCCCCAGTGATACCTCACATGAGCAATTAGCAACCACTGTTCCCATAATCATGCTCATTTCAGTTGACGGTGATTATTCTTTTGTGAAGATAGAGCAGTAACGAAAAGGGAGTGCTGACTCTTGCAGCACTAGGAAGAAAGGAAACTATAAAATTGGCTGAAAATTAAAGGAGCAGATTTGCAAAGAAAAAAATATTTTATATTTTTCAAAAATTGCTCTCACAATTTTGTAACCACCAGGGATGTAGTTTGGGTGCCTGACTACACCTGCAAACCAAGACATCTAAACATAATCAGTTCTACCCACAAACAATTGCAGGTAGTAATGCATACCCCAAAATTATTTAAAATAAAGACCAGATTTACAAAACCCGGACTTCACAGAAAGATCCTCTTATTAGACGCACCATCCCTTTAATTGGAAAAATTCAGTTTGCAAGCTACTTCCATTCCACCACCTTCTGTTAGCTAACCAAAAGCCCATTCAGTGTTCATTTCCTGGGTTTAGCTTTTTGATGGCTTATGGTACCTAGCAGATGGTCACCTTTGGTTGCATTATTGCGATTTAAGAGGTTCTGGGCTTCCTCGTCTACAACATTCAACAGATACTGGACAACGTCATTGTGGTCATCCTCATCAAAATAGTCATCCTCCAGTATCTCAGTTTCTAGAAAAATAAAACAAACAACATGGGGGAAAGGAATATAAAAAGATTAATGCTTATAAAGGAAGTGAATGACAAAAATGGGGCATCAAGAGGATATTCTATATATTCTCTAAGATACTAATAATTATTGACGCTCCTTCCTTGACTATGCTACAGAATTCCAACTCTGATCCCATGACTCCACTTCTCCTTCTCTTGGCAAATAACTCGTTTAGGAGAGAATACAGGACCAGAAAAACACATTATAGAAATGAATGTCAAATTTAAGATGTTCAAGAAGTTAAAATGGTCTTTTATTTTGAAATCTTTATTGCCTACTCGCTCTCCCACTCTTGAACTGAGGAGTACACAGATATTCAAATCCCTGCTCCTTACCTGAGTGATCACTGTTCTTGGAAAAATCGGATATCTGATTTGTAAAACCACTGGAGGGCATGTTTCTAGAATCAGTGAAGTTCATTAGCCCTTTTGCCTGATGAATACTGCTTACTGCATTTGCATGAGAAACTCCTATCACGCTTTCCCCATTAACCTAACAAACCAAAAAGTAGCATACGTTAGTTTTCTTTTTTAAGGGCTTGTTGTTTGTTCCTCTAACAGCCCCATTCTAACAGAGCATAGGGTACTACTCAGGAGTGCCGGCACAGAAATGCAGCCTTTTCATGCCTCCTACTCCATTAAGAAAACACGATTTAATCTTATTGGTAACTTATGCTTGACATTTTTTTAAATTGACAATGTAACTGTACTATAACTTACAAACAAAATTAAGAAAAATGAAAATTAAGCCCGAATGTAAGGGGGAACTTCCTGACAGTGGAGATCTATTAGATTGTGGAACAGCCTACCAAGAGACCAGTGCTGTTGCAATTACTTTCCTCTTCTTGTCCTTCAGACTGAGGCTATGTCTACACTGGCAAATGCATGACAAAACTTTTGTCTTTCAGGGGTGTTAGCCCCCATGTCCACCGAAAGACAAAAGTTTTGCTGTAACAAGTGCCAGTGTGAACAGTGCGTTGTCAGCAGGAGCACTCTCTGGCCGACAAAGCTAACCTTGCTCGTTGAGGGTGGAAGTTTTTTGTCAGCAGGAGAGCCGACAAACAGCGGCTACACTGCACGACTTTTAGCGGTACGGCTGTGGTGACACAGACATGACGCTAAAAGCTGTGTAGTGTAGACAAAGCCTAAGAAATAATTGTGAGGGATAGAATACTTTGCATTTATATTGTGTTCTCCATCCAACACTCTCAAACATTAATGATCTTAGCTTCACATCACTTGTACCTCTGTGAGGGAGGTGAGCATTACCTCCATTTCTCAGAAGAGAAAATGGAAGCAGAGAGAGATTAAATTACTTGGCCAATGTAACACACAAGCATTGTGAGGGGCTAGGAACAGAATCCAGATTTCTGAGTTACAGCCCTGTGCCTTGGCCACAAGACCAGTCTTCTTTCCTTAAATGCAGTTCTGGGCATTGGAAAAATAATTCCAAAAGCTTATGCACTTATTGATTCAGATCAAGTGACAGCGCTGTAACTGCACAGTTTAAGATACAGAAATTTTGCCTTAGCTGGGGCTGGGTATTGATTATCTTTTTCTCTAGTTAATGAAAATTCCTACCAATAGGATTACATGCACCTATTTTATCAGAACTGAACAAAGGAATATAAAGCAGCTGTGTTAAATATGGTTGCTTCATTTTATTTACCTTGGTGACATAAACATCAGGTGCTGTTTCTGTTTTGCCATAGTGATCTCCATGGGGATGGCCTAAACAAAAAAGAACAAATTGATAACCCTTTAAATAACAAAACGTTTGTAGTGAGCACATTATGAAAAAAGTTTCAGAGGGGTAGCCATGTTAGTCTGTATCCACAAAAACAACGAGGAGTCTGGTGGCACCTTAAAGACTAACAGATTTATTTGGGCATAAGCTTTCATGGGTAGAAAACCTACTTCTTCAGATGCATGGAGTCTCCATGAATCTGAAGAAGTGGGTTTTTTACTCATGAAAGCTTATGTCCAAATGAATGCATCTGAAGAAGTGTTTTTTTTTAAGCTTGTGCCCAAACAAATGTGTTAGTCTTTAAGGTGCCACCAGACTCTTCATTAAAAGAAAAGGAGTACTTGTAGCACCTTAGAGACTAACCAATTTATTTGAGCATGAGCTTTCGTGAGCTACAGCTCACTTCATCAGATGTATACCGTGGAAACTGCAGCAGACTTTATATACACACAGAGATCATGAAACAATACCTCCTCCCACCCCACTGGTCTGCTGCAGTTTCCACGGTATACATCTGATGAAGTGAGCTGTAGCTCACGAAAGCTCATGCTCAAATAAATTGGTTAGTCTCTAAGGTGCTACAAGTACTCCTTTTCTTTTTGCGAATACAGACTAACACGGCTGTTACTCTGAGACTCTTCATTGTTATTATGAAAAAAAGTTGTTTGGCAGTAAATAAAAATATTTATCATTTGTTATGAAATGTAATATACTTCCTTCTGCTGACAGTTATTAAAAAGAATAACTGAACCTAACTGAATGGTGGGATAGTGGGGTACTTAACTACACTCATATCTGAATGACAGCATTTTAAAATAGCATTATGTTTGCAGAGTTAGGAGAAATAAGAGACCATAATGGTATAATAAATAACCGAGTCTCCAAAACGACCACTGTTGATAAATAGTGATACCAATACAATATGAATTATATGGCACCAGGTGCAAATGTGTCACTTTAGAGGAATATTGTAAAGCTCCCACCTCCAAAGGTTTAAAATCTAAGGGCACGTCCCTGCAAACACGTATCTCTGGATGTAGTGTATACCCAAGTCAATGAGACTGCTCGTAGTAGTGTTTTCAGGACCAAGCTCTAAAGAGACAATGTCTAGATAAGAGATGGGGGATATGAAACAACAAAAATCTAGTGCAAGATATTAACCTCTCCTTTCTCTTTAATTGGTCATTTATTAACAGTGATGTAACCTCATGTTCAGGGCGACTCTAAACCTCTGACTGCCAGAAGCTAGGGTGGATCACTCCAACTGCCCTGTTCTATAGATTCCCCCTGAAGCTCTGTTATGGGACAATGTTGGAGAGTGGATACAAGGCTCGATGGACCATTGGTCTGACCCAGTCGGACAATTCCTGTGTCACACTACTAGAGTAACACTTTGCAGCTACAGCAGCTCCAAACACACTTTGAGAAGCAAATGATAATACTGTGGAAAGTGTTATTTGACCATTACAAAACTTAATATCACACTGTACTTTTTTCAGTGGGTATAAGAGCTGTGTTCTGATCCATTGCCTGATTAAAAGATCTGCATCAAATTGTGTGCGCATTCTGAGCTGATTTATGAATAACAGAAATAGTTATCTTGTGTGAAACATAGTAAGAAGATTTCGAGTATAATTCTTTGAGTAAACAAAGTGTTCAGGTATTATTAGAATTTGCCCATCAATTAAATGGAGATCTTTGGTAGCCCAGAAGACTATACAAAACCTATCAAAGATATGAAATTAAAAAAACAAGACTAACAAAGGAATAAGGGAGAGCAGAAACTGATTCAACTTTCCTCCATAGGCAAAGTGATATGTAAACAATACCACTGGAAGCACCAAATTAGTTGTGTTGTATGTAACAATGCCTATATATCACCTAATCCAAGAATTTTCTAAAGCTGAGTACAGAACACTCCATTATGTTTAAATGGTTCTATTCTATTTCTCAGAATCTGTGACATTCTGTATTGTCTCTTATCCATGTCCTTATGCAAAGTGGCTTCTTAAATTTGTTGCAGAAGTTTGGCAAACCTTATTTAAAAGAATACCATGTATCCTGTTTCTGACAGGCTTTTGTAGGCAAAAGATAGATATCACACTTTGGTTGTCATTGATAGAAAGCAACTCATTTGCAGTAGGTAACTAAGAGATCCTTACCATTAGCTTTCATTAACTTTGGACTTGAGCTAACAGAGCCCCTGGACTTTGGAACCAATGGGTGACCATCTCTGCGATAAGAAGAAATACACTATATTTTTGATTTGTGAAAAGGAACCATACGTAAGTATCTATATAAGGGCAATTTCTTGTTGACTATTGTGCTTGACATAGTTAAGGCCTATTTTCCTTGGACAGATTTGGAATAAGGTACCAAGAATATTCAATATCCCAATAATAGAAAGGTATTCACCAGATAATATCCTCGTTCATATCTACTTTCAGAAGAAGGAGAAAACTTCACCCGGCTAGGATTTCACCCCAGACTCATGTAGACAGGTGCAATCTAGTGGCCTCAGTCTAGGGCCTAAACCTGAGAACGCCTCAGTCCCTGCAGCACTTCAGAAAATCAAGCTTTCGGTGCCTGAAAGTTAGGCGCACAAAAGTAGTGGAAACTTGGTAATTCCTCTGCCTCAGTTGCACCATCTATAAAATAGGGATACCAATACCTATATAGCTACCTCTTTACAGGATTATTGCAAGGATTAAATTATTGCTAGTAAAGAGTTTTGAAATTAAAGGGTCAAGGATGCAGCTGCTCTGTGCCAACCTGGTAGCATAATCTGAACCTACAGCCAGGTTTGCTGTGCCAGGGAGGATTGCTCCAGCACATACATGAACCTAAGGAGGCATAGAGCCAATGTGTGATCTCTTACACCACTCCCCCTCCCTGCTTCTGATGTAGTACGAGAAAGGTGTAGCTGGAGCACCCCTGAACTAGGTCAATCTTCATCTGCAATTTCCGTACTCTGTGGGTATCTCTACACTGCAGCTGGGAGTGAGCCTAACAACCCAGGTAGACCGACTTGTGCTAGCAGGGCTTGAATTAGTGCATTACAAATAGCAGTGTGGATGTGGTGGCTCGGGCTTTCAAGCCCACCAGACCCCCCTAGGCTTGAGAATCTGAGATCCAGCCCAAGATGCAGCTATTTTTAACACGCCAGCTTGAGCCGTGCTAGAGCAAGTCTGTCTATCTGGGCTGAGAGGCTCACTCCAGTTGGTACAACTTTGGGGGGAAAAAAAAGAAAAACGTTGACAAATTTGACAACTCTTTCCAAAACAATTAGGTTTTTTTTTAAAGGGCACTTTGATCCACTTAACTTATTACTAAGGCTAAGATTTTGTCACAGTTATTTTTAGTAAAAGTCACGGACAGGTCACGGGCCATAAATAAAAATTCACGGAAGCCTGTGATCTATCTGTGACTTTTACTAAAAATAACTGTGACAAAATGGGGAGTGGGGGATCACAGCGGATTCTGTGACTTCCATGACCTCTGTGACATAATCATAGCCTTACTTATTACATACTTGTCCTACCCTGCTTATTACATAGATGTCCACACACAAGATGTGCATATATCAAATTTAGTCTGAGAATGCCTCTTATGGCGCAGTCTGCAGCTGGACAATTTTAGCCTCACTATGAGCCCAATCTGATGAGATACCGAGCACGCTCAACTCCATTAAGTCAACAGAATTGAGAGGACAGAGCACCCTAAAGGATCAGGCCTTTAAAAAAATAGCTGCCATTATCACTCCAATTGGTTAGCTATTGTGCCAGGAAAATGCAGTTAAGTGGACATGGCTACAACTATGTCAGTTAAAAATCACATGCAGGAATTAGCTTCCACAGGATACCTTGTCGCTTTCAGCACCACTTTAGGAAGTGACATTTCCAGGGCTCTTTTGGCTTCTTTCAGAGTCATTCCCTGTGTGCTGACTCCATTAATATAATGGATGATATCCAACGTACGGAGACTTTCCTCGCTAGCAGCAACTGACCTTGGCTTTATATCACTAATATACACCACCTGATAAAGGCTGTCATGACCTCCTGATATAGACAGACCTGTGCAGAAGAAAAAAAATCCTCAATCTTTTCTTTTACTAGTCAAGTGTGATTTTTACAATGGGACATTGAAGAAAGGCATTGCACACAAGGGCAAACAGCCATACAATTTTATATTACCCAGCTCTTCTTTATGGCATGATAATGTAATATCAGGCAGCAAATGAGGCAACACTGGAATCTTTGGTAACTCCAGAACACGTCCAACCACCAATCTGACAGTCTTTGGCGCAGCTCGAAGAAAACTGACTGCATCTGTGTGACCCATGTTAGTGACATCCATGTCATTAACCTGAAAAGAGAACAGCAACAGAAAAATCCTCATTATGGTTACAATTAAGACAGCCAATGATACTAAGAAAATTCAGCTGAAGTCCCTGTTATTTGTATTTCATATTAAATGACAAAATATAAATGTTATCAATGACAGCAACTGCAATCTATGAGGTTATCCATTTCCACGAACAAACACATTTAATGGAAAATGGTAGAAGAAACAAATCCTGAACTAGCAATGTCAAAATAGTAAATATATTACAAAAAAGGTTTAATATATACCAGTTTCCATAAAATGGAAGAATAAGCTTTTAGCAAGCCACGGCCTGAAAGCCAGACTCAGTCCCTAATCCACACTGGTTTATGATTTTATTCCTTACCTAAGGTTAAACGTTATTCCACAGGATTTAATTCCCCGATCTAGCAAAGACTGGCACGCATGCTAAACTCTATGTACTGTACTATGAGTGGTCTCATTGATTTTAGTGGAATTACGAACTGCACGTGGAAGTCTTTGTAGGATGGGGGCCTAAGAACGTAATTAAGCACATTCTTGTTCCACGACACCTTATAATGTTAGCATTTGCTTCAGTGTATTAATAGACTTTTTTATGTTCTGTTTACTGGAAGGAGCGTCACACAAGAAAATTTATCCAAGATTACCTGAACAGTTCTTCTCTGAGACTAGATGATCATGATGGTCCCTTCTGACCTTAAATTCCATGAGTATTTTGAAAGGAACCCCTAACTGTAACCTAAAAGATCGTATATACTGAGCCCAACCCTATCTATTATTTTGCTGTCTGGAAGAATTACACAGATGTTAACAGCAAAAGGTTTAGTGAACATTTGTCAGTCATGTTCCATGTGTTTTATTTTATACTTATATTTAAGTTGGTTCAACAACTGTTATATTATGAATTTCAATACATGCATTTAGTTGTCAGCTTCTCATCCACACATTTGACTCCGCACACTACAGGATCCAGAATTCTTATTTTTCTGGTCCAAGGTTAGTTTGTTTCCTCTCTATTATCACACAGATCCCTTAATCTTGAGTTGGGTTTCACTATGAAATTCTACTCATCTCACCTTGATAAGCCGGTCTCCTGGTCGTAGCCTCCCATCACTTTTGGCAGGATCCTGAACAACGTCATGAATGTAACAACCAATGTTATCATTGCCTTTGGTCACTGTAAAGCCCAGGCTTCCTTTTTCTGATTTAGTCATGGTAAAATGGAGTTCCACTTCCTATGGGAAAAACAGTGTTTTAAATAAACAGTGGTCTAGAATGTGGATAAATAGTGTATCCTCTATGAAACGTAGGGTCATCTGAATGAGCTGCTTTGATTAAGATTATTTAAGACAACACACTTCATTAATCAATTTACTTAAATCAAATATAGGTTCTAATCCTGCAAACACATCTGTACTGAGGCTTATGTATTGAAATCAATGGGACTACTTATGCGCATAAAGTTAAGCATGGGCATAACGTCTTTTTTGCAGGATCAGGGCCATACTGAGTACATCAGGGATGGACAATCATTTTTGCGGTGGGGGGGGGGGGGACTTTTAGCAACCCGGAGATCGCAAGGGGGCAGCCAAAGAGCCTGGTGGGCCGGACAGAAATGTTAGATGGGCTGTATTTTGCCCACCGCTGGAGTACATCAACTAGAATAAAACTGGGCACGAGAGGTGAAGATGCTCTCCTACAAAAGGATAAAATGTCAGGTTTCCGTTACTAAACTGGAGTACTGTATTGTACATCTTGCTATTACACACATGCATGCCTTTTATATTATACATTTGTAATTTACATGCATTTTATATTCTCTGTTTAGGATTGTGCTTTACTTGCACAGAAATTAACAGAATAAGAAGAAGAAGAAAGGATCAAAAGAAGAGATTAATAGTGTGATGATGAGAGATGGAGGTCTTTGTGCTGCACAATAGCGTACTCTGGGATATGAGGCAGCGATGTCAGAAGGTTCTCAGAAAAGTTTGATGCATTGCCTCTGTGGCCAAAAGATGTGTATCTGGGGGACAGACAGATGTAAAAGCAGAGGAAATGAATGGGATTACAAGGGCTCCAACCAGTCCGAGGGTAACAATGGGGAAAAATATATTGACAAGTAAGAAACTTAGCTTCAGAACATCATCACTACATAAAAAGAAAAGGAGTACTTGTGGCACCTTAGAAACTAACAAATTTATTTGAGCATAAGCTTTCGTGAGCTACAGCTCACTTCATCGGATGCAATTTGTTAGTCTCTAAGGTGCCACAAGTACTCCTTTTCTTTTTGCGAATACAGACTAACACGGCTGCTACTCTGAAACCCGTCCCTACATAGTTACACACAGTGCCAAATCTTCAAAATATGGATTCAAACTGTACCTAAGAAATGTGTGCGCCTATCCATAATATCCACAGGGCAATGGAGCATTTAACTACCCAAATTGTATGTATGCACAGGCAGTTATACAATCTGCACAGTTTTAGAGTCTGATTTGAAAAAAAACAACAACCCTGTTTTTTATTTAAAAGAGTAAGTAAAACATTTGAATCTCTCAAGTGCCTCATCTATAACACATCTAGGAACACTGTCTTAACAATGATGCCATTCCTATTGTCACAAATGGCCGGGCCACCTTCTATAAGTAGATTGTATAAGTGCCTTTTGCAAAACACATCCTCAGTTAACTATACATTTAAATTAGGGTAATTGTTCTAAGTAAATATAAATAGGATGCATTTTGTTACGGTCAAAACCATGGCTAAATAAAACCCCAAGAGGCACAATCTTTAACACATTTATGGCACAGAGAGAGAGAGAGAGAAAGTAATTACTGGTTCATATTCATCAGCATGTTTCTCAAATTGGTTGAGCAGTGATGTTATTTTCTCTCTTTGTGGAACTAGCTCAGAGGTGGTACTGATGTAGGCATCATCCATTAAACCAGGGGTAGCAATCTCGGTAATAGTTCTACAACTTGGTATTGGTGGCAAGTCCAGTGGTAGAGGAGACGGAGGATTACTATGAGAAGACAGAGAAACAAGAGTTTGAATGGTTTATAATATTTGAGGCAGACTGTGTTGCTTACATGATTAGAGCTCTGCAAAGACACCATGCTTCACTTCACAGGTATTCATGTGTGACCTCTGATATTTCTGCAAACATTTACAAACTTGATACAGGGGTCAAATTATACCATCCCTCACTGCCAAATCAACACAAGTCTTTGTCCCGATAAAATCTAGTCGTTTTCACACCAAAGTCTTGAATTTTTATTAGTAAGCCTTATCATCCATTTTTGCAGACAAATTCCACCCTTTTGACTGTTCCAGGCTTGCAAAATCTGAGTATTTATTTTTGCAAAATAAGTAATATTTACAATCATACCTGTCCTCAAACTCTGGCTTGCAGGGAGTCTCATGAGCAGAGTAGTAGATGGTACGAATTGCTTCTTCCTGGCTACAAGGATTTTCATACTGAGTGTGTGCTGGAGCCATCATTTTGTCTAGAGTTTGGTACAGCGCAGAATTCCATCCAGGGCTTGCTATCTGTGTTGGGGTCACCACTACCTCTTCTTCACCACTCCCACTGCTGTCACTGTAGCTGTCTCTCCTAGAAGGGGATTTTAGTCGCTTCTTGCTCTTATCGGTCACTTCATTTTCATCTGAGCTGTCACCTTGATCTCCCTTTGACGCACCAGAAGTTTCTGTGCTAATGTCTGGAAATATTTGTTGTGGGGAATGTATGGGAGTCTGCAACAAATGTAGAAAGAATGAGGAGTACTTGTGGCACCTTAGACACTAAAAAATATATTTGAGCATAAGCTTTCGTGGGCTAAAGCCCACTTCATCAGATGCATGAAGTGGACATCTGTTAATCAACAAATGTGATGTTTAAGAAATCAGACTCTGGCTATAATGGTCATTTATTCATTTTAGGTTTGGCAGAAATGTGTAAAGAATGCAGAAATAATCAAACACGTTTAATCAAAGGTTAATTGTATTTACTTCAGAAGTCAGCACAGTGGACCAAACTCAGCCCTGGTATAAACTCCACAGAGTTCAGAGTGAATTTAACTTATTTTCAGTAACACAACATGTATGTAATTTTCAAACCTGTGTATCTAGGCAATTTCAAAAGCACTAATTAAAATGGGAGTTGCGGGTGCTCAGCTCTCTAAGAAACTGAAACTGCCAGGAGGCACTGAGAGGCAGATCCTCAGCTAGAATAGATGGTCAATGACAATTTACACCAGCTGAGGATCTGTCCCCGAAAGTTTAAACATTTGGCTCCAGTACCATTTCCCAAAAAACTGTGTAATCACACTCCCATAAACATGATGTACCAATCAATGATGAGTATGGAAGCTTTGACAGTTCCATTTATTCATCCCATGGGAAACCTGTAAGTTCACGTACTCACCCACCCCGAACACCATCAACCGCTTTTCGTTACTTTAATTTTCTCCTTTGTTCCTCTTGCCCTTTGTTCAGATTTGTATTGAGATGTCCACACACAGGATACAAATCTGTTTCTATTGTCATGTAAGAACAGTTTTTATCTGGTAAACAACAATAAAGTGACTTGATTTGAAGACTTCTTCCCAATAATTTTTTAAATTGTTCTTTATTACTGAAAGCTACTCTACTAATGTGGACTCCTCCATCATGGAGTACCGATTTTTTTCTGCTGCAGTATATACAGTCTAGTTTCCATCGACACTAAAATATTCTAAAATGGCATTGTGCTCTTTGGACTGATTTGATAGAGCCCTTTTACAAATCCTCTTTGGGATCATGTATTTTAACTCAGAAAACAGGGCTGAGTTTTTTCCAGCTTGATGTACAGCAAAACTAAACTATAAATACTTGTTGTTATTAAATGGCAGTTTCATGACTAATTCACCACACATCTCACCGAAAATGTAACCCTCGGTGAAGCCAACTTAAAACTAACAATCAACATTTCCAAGGAAAGTGTAGTTATAGTATTTTAAGCCATTTAGGAGCCTTTTGAATAAAAAAATGTACTATTGTAAATGTACAAGAGCCTTGTATTTTTTCTTATTTTTATGAAATAGGCTGTGTTTCTATCTTGTGGCTTAACACAGCAAACACATTGGTATGATCCTGTATTCCCCTGCCACCTCTCTTCATTTTTCATTTACGCGTGCAACCAATGTATTCTGAATAAGCAAAACTTAATGATCATATGCCATAGGCCTTACCAACAGAGAAGGATCAATTTCTGGTAGTATACCAGGTGGTGGCCTGCAAAGGAGGAGAGAGACTTCTGGGGATGTTCCTCTGAGTGCTGAGATGACCTCCTATAGGTACAGTTGATTTTGTATTAGACACAGGTCCCACTTGCAAGATATCTACTACTGACAAGTAAGGCTATAGAGAGAACTCTAACCTGCTGGGATAGTCCTTTCAACGAAGCCCCGTTCACTTTCAGGATGACATCCCCCACTTCAATCTGCCCACTTTCAGCTGCAGGCTGCCCAGGGAAGAGCTTTTTAACCCTCACTATGCTTGAGCCCAATTGCTCCAGAGTAAGGTTGTCTTCACGACAAAAACTGAACCCCAGGCCCGAGCTGTTCTTCAGCAACTTTACCTCAAATGTGTTGTCTGGAAAATAAACAGAAATAATAGACTACTCTCTTTTCCTACAGTACCCTCTCCATGAAGGCTGCTTATTCAGCAATAACAATCAGACTGCATCCCACCAACAATCACACTAATAGTTTGGGGTAGGGGGTTACCGTGTGTAAAAGTTTTGTAAGGAATCCCTGTGTATGATCGGTTTAGACAAAACATGCCATAATTATTCATGGTTTCTTTCCCTGCTGTTCTTCTCTTGGAAATGTCCACACTGCTGTATGTTATCCCCAAAACAGTAGTACCTGGGAGAAGCTCAGAGGACATTCAGGAAGGATGTAAGGGCATTATGCTGTAGAAATAATTGAGAAGTATAGAGGAGGAGGAACATTCTGGAGGTTGGCCATAATTAAGACTACGATTTAATGACAGATATTTTTAGTAAAAGTCATGGACAGGTCACAGGCAAGAAACAAAAAATCATGGGCCCGTGACCTGTCCATGACTTATACCATAAATACCCCTAATTAAATCTTGGGGTGGGGGTGCAGCGGCGGAGAGGGGAGCCCTGGGGGGGCCCGCGGCACCAGCTGCTGCGGGGGAGAGGAAGCCCCGGGGGCCCGCTGCCGTGGGGGAGCCCTGGGGTACCAGTGGCTGCTCAGGCCACTGGGGGCCAGCCACTGATCCGGCTGCTCTGGGACCGCTGCTGAGAGTCGCTGAGCTATGGTTGCTCCTGCTGCCCCCGGGACCGCTGCTCAGGCAGTCCCCAGGGCCAGCCGCATCAGCTGCTGCTTGGCGCCTCCAGAGCAGTGGCTGGGGCTGCTCCTGCAGCACTGGTATGACTGGCTGCAGGGCCGCCCAAGTGGCTGGCTGTGGAACCGCTCCAGCAGTGGCCGGCGTGGCTATCCCTAGGGCCGCCTGAGCAAGATTCAATCAGGGCCCAGGGCCCACTGGCTGCTTCATAAGTCACGGAGGTCACAGGAAGTCATGGAATCTGTGTTAAACACGGAGCCCTAGCCATGATCTATTACAGGAAGTAATGCCCTTCGTTTCAAAGGTGACCACTATAAATAGGTTAAGGAATGGTAAGGGAAGAAACTATTTAAAAAGCTGCTAAAATAAATGACTGAGACACCATTACAGGAAATATTCAAAATGCATTTAACAACATGAAAGAGAATCTGTGTTGTACACAATGCTTGGACGTGGTCACTGCCAGCCCTAACTTCCGTGATTCTTTTCACTGAAGGCTCATCTGGCTGTGAGAAAATGGAAGGTTTTGGGGACGCTCTAAAGCTCAGATAGTTTTTCTCCATGACCTGACCTTCAGTGACAAAGCTGTAGTCTTTGGTATTTGTCATTTTTCTCTCTGGTTTGTTCTGGGGCTCACTTTGTCCTGCCTCATTTGGAGGCGTGCACTGTGGTGTAATGGGAGCATGAACTTTGGCCACTGGAAGCTGCCCCTTCTCCAGCAACAGATGCACTACCTACACAAATACAACATATTCAAATTAGTTAGCACAAGCCACAAAAATACCACATTTTGCTGTACAGGGTCTAGTCTAACCTGTTCTGGGTAACTAAATTACACAGCCATAAATTCTACAGATTCATAAAAAAATCCCCCATAAATCACTGTAAGTAGCTCATTAGTTTGTTAGGAACTGCAAATGGCAACAACATCGACAATAATAGAGAAACAGAGCCACAAGATATCAACCAGACAGCATTTAAAGTAAATTCAGATCCCCCCGCCCCAATATTATGAGGCGTGAGGGACAATTAAAAAATGCCACTGACTACATTCTTCATACATGGGTCCTGCATCAAGGGAATCTGGAGGAAAAGACAGTTTACAATATGTACTGGTGGCATTTTACTATTCCAGAGATTTAATATTTGTACATGCACTTCCATGCATGATTAGCTAAGGGCCAAATTCTGATATTTGAAGCAGCTGCCTTATGCCATGAATAGTGACATTCACTGAAATGGCACCACATTGGAGCGCGGTGCTACTCAACATGATTAAGTGTATCAGGAAGTGGTCCTAAGCAAGGAAGTGCACAGTGGAGAGCTCCCGTTGTCAGTTTTGTCTACTGTATTTTTACTCATGATAAGTTTATTTACCTAAGACAGGAGAAGAATATTATATTACCTGGCCAGTGTTTCTCAGTGTTTCCACAGCTTGTTTATGGGTAGCACCTTCCAAACTAATCCCATTGACAGAGAGCACACGATCACCTAGAAACAAACAATGCATGATTTAGAAGAAGGAAGAATGTAATAAAAAATTAATTCATATAGAACACGCTTATAATCCATGCAACAGTGATCTGTTCATTTTTCAATGAACAAGGGCAGTGACTCGGGCAATTCCCCATGCACTGAGAGTAGAATAGGGCTTTTTGTATCAGAAGTGTTCTGTAACTGAATTCCAACCCCAAAATCTAGGACCATTTTAATGCTCAAAGCAATGCTTCACTGAGAAATCTGGGGAGAAATATAATAACCCCTCATCTAACTGTGGGACTCCACTTCACAAAGAAGACTAACTTAAAAACAAAGACTGTCAGAGCTATTACAAGGATTTTCTGTACTGAGATACTTAGCATGTCAAGCGAGGAGGTCACTAATTGCACAAAGCCTCTTTCTCCTCTCTCTGGGCATAACCAGAGCAATTTGCTCCATTAAAGTGGAACGCACTAGAACAAAACACTGACTAAAAAATATTTTGTCATTTTTTTTCTCCAGTACGGCTTCCATAGTTTCTTCAGATACTGCAATAGTCCCACACTTTGTCTTCCTTTCTTATCTCCTCATTGCACAGCTCTGTCAAATTTATAAACTTAGCACTTATTAATCCTTTAAATGGTCAGAGTGCTTTACAAATTAACCCTTACACCACCCATGTGAGGGAGAGACTAAGGTGACGCACTACAGAAAAACCTCAGAGAGGTAGGTAGTTTCCCATTGACAATATAGACCCATAAAGAAATTACAAGTAACCAAAGCCAGGCAGTCGGTAGACCTCTGGAGTTCTTAGGTCCTAGACCATGATGTCTCTCCAAAGCCTACATAAAGTCATCTGGATTTCATTCTACTGCTATTTAAGAAAACTTGTGGAAAGAGCAAAGTATATACCTTTCTGAAGTCTACCATCAGCCTCAGCTGCTCCCTTAGGAATAACGGCCTTCACATAAATGCCACCATGTCTTACACTGGTGTTTATGCCACCCTAAATGGAGAATAAATAGGTAAAATGCAAACCTTTAAAACCATAAACAGAAGATCTTAGATCAAGAAAGGTAAACAATCCTTAAGAAACTCAGGAAGCACTCAAGCCATCAGCATGTAAAATCAGCAGCCAACTTATTGTAAATAAAATATTTTGAGATCCATGCAAATCATAACCAGTTGGGGTAGATGTGTGTGTGTGGGTGGTGGGGTGTGAGTGGGGTGGGGGTTAAAACTATGAGGCTCAAATGCAAACCTTTCCAGTAAAACAAGCGTCCTTCAAGCAGAACTATGAAAGCACTAGAATCTGCATATATGAGTGTGGAAAAGCTAAGTGTTGTTTGTGCACAACATGCATCAGCTGCCAAAATAAAAGATGCATACATGCAATATCCTAGTTTTGTCCACCCTCATTAAAGTAATGTGAAACTAAACGGTATTCTTCTCTCTCAGGTTACAGAAAGCTGTCTTGAAAGCAAAATATATTGAGGTAGGAGGTGCCATAAAGATTTGGGTTGAAGGTCTGCTTAGGTTTCAGAGACTCAACCTACTTGTTTAATGCATATAGCCATCACCACACAGTTCAGTGTTATTTCAGGGATTCCCCCAAACTTTTAAAGGAGGAGAAGGAGGAGCTAGCCCACAAATGATCTCCATGTGTTCCCCAAAGATCCAATTGTTTTAATATTACTTCCAAGTAAGCTAAAGGTTGACAGTAGATTTTAGAACAGTGCAAGGATACAGGTGGAGGCAGAAAATGATAAAGTGAGATATGGCGACCACTTGTTAGTCCTTGCACTGGTGACCATTGGCAGCATCGACAAAGTCACTGGAATAGCAGGATTGCTGCATGTCAACAGCTAAGTCGTCATTATACTACTGCATAATTTCACCTTCATTCATCTGTCATAGTGAGTCTGGCTCCAAATCAATAAGTGATAATTACTACAATTTCTTTAGATTTAGAGCATGTTTTCATTTACAATTCATAGGCAAAGTTTACAATATGTAACTGAGCCATAATCCAGACTATGGACCAAAGAATCTGTAGTAAAGATTCCCCCCCACCCTCAACTCAACCTTACAGTCCTTTATCTAATTCTCCTGCCAGGGGCCGCTTGTAGTTAGAAACCACTAGGTATTGTCTTCAACTGTTTAAGATATTTAAGAAGAGTGCATTACCTATAGCTAAGGCTACATTTTAGTCACGGGTATTTTTAGTAAAAGTCATGGACAGATCGCAGGCAGTAAACAAAAATTCACGGCTGTCACCTGTCCTTGACTTGTACTATATATCCCTGACTAAAACTTGGGTGCTCGGAGGAGCAGCCCAGGGGTGCCGCAGGTGCTCTGGGGGGGCAGCCCGGGGGGTGGCTCGGGACCCCCACTCGTGCTGGGGGGGGGGCAAAGGGGGCTGGAAGGCTCCCTACCAGCTCCTGGAAGTGGCAGACATACCCCTGCAGCCCCTAGGCGGAGGTGTGACCGGGGGGCTCCGCACTCTGTCCCCTGCCCTGAGGGCCTGCTCTGCAGCTCCCACTGGCTGGGAACCACAGCCAATGGGAGCTGTGGGGGAGGCCCCTGTGGGCGGAGGCAGCACGCGAAGCCATCTGGCCATGCCTCTGCCTAGAAACCAGACACGCCGGACACTCCCAGGGAGCCCCCCAGAGGTAAGTGCCGCCCAAAGCCTTCGCCCCCTCCTGCACACCAACCCACTGCCTCAACTCTGAGAGCCCTCCCACACCCCAATTCCTGCTGCTGATGGGAGGGAGGGGTGCGGTGGCCCGAGACTGCCCCAGCAGCTGCTGGTGCGGCTGGCCCAGGGGCCGCTTGAGCTGCTCAGGTGGCCCTGCACTGGCTATGACTTCCGTGACCTATAGCTACTGTTTGTGGGTATGGCACACCCACTATCACAATTTCTGATCTGAAAACATTAGAAATTGCTCCAGTGATGGCTAAAAAGTGCATAAAAGATTGCATTAGGGATGTAAAAAGGAAACAGCTTTATTCTGCTGTCCTCATCTTCAAAGTAACATGCATTAAAATCTGCTAGACTTGAAAGAAGGTGTCCGGATCTATGATCTATTTAGAAAATGCCTGCATCTGTAATACAGTAAATAGCCACTGAAATTGCCTCTCTTTTGAACTCTATTTAATATCTGCTCACTACTACCAGCGTGCTACTGTTGACATTCAAATTGTTTTCAGAATTGGGAGGTGAATCAGTTAGACTAATCCTTGAAAGTTAAATTGTCTAAGAACCAAAAGGTGTTTTTGACACCTACAGAAACACAAATGGAATGTTGGTGATATAATGATATATTATTCACCATGCCTTTAAAGCAACATTGTCAAGTAGGTTAGGCCTAAAATTTGAGCCAGTTTACAAACATTATAATCGGGTGTGAAGCTTTTAAATTAAAAATAGATATATATCTCCATAACATAAGAACAGCCACACTGGGTTAGACCAAAGGTCCATCTAGCCCAGTATCCTGTCTTCCAACAGTGGCCAGTGCCAGGTACCCCAAAGGGAATGAACAGATCAAGTGATCCACCCCTGTCATTCCCAGCTTCCGGCAAATCTCCTTATCGACTTGCTAGAAGGATGACAAAAAATAACAACCAGCCACTCCTTACCCAGACAAAAATGTTTTGTGCTCTTCTGCTTCTCAGCCAGCAGAGGGAGAACATAGAACAAGTGACAAAGCCTCTTTAGAGAGACTGATGCTGCTGGTGAACAAGTCAGTAAAACAAAAATAATGCTGGACCAAATCTGGCCCAATTTAACTCCATTGGCTTCAATGGTGTTATGCTAGGGATGAATTTGGCCCCTTACTGTCAACCTATTAACAAAAGCTACTTGACTTCACCTTCAAGGCCCTTCACTCTCCATCATCTCTCATTCAGTATTGGAAGGTTGACTCCTGACTCCAAACCCATTATGCCAGTCTCCACCGCCCGCTCGTTAAATTCTCAAATGAGCACTTTTGTGCCTCCTTTGTGCCTGTGTATCTTCCTTACAACTCTCCTTTACTGTGATGCCTACCTGACAACGGCTCGGCTGCTAGTGCACTAAGACCACTGTCTATCATACAGATCTATACTGTCTCATTTTTTCCCACTGTACTCCTGCATCTGTCAGTATACGTCTGGTGTCTTGTGTCTTACACTTGGATTGTAAGCTTTTTGGAGTCTTTTGATTCTGTGTTTGTATAGCACATAGCATAATGAGGTCCTGATCCATGACTAGGGCTGCTAGGCAGTATGGTAGTGCAAGTAATAAATAAATAGGGAGATGACAAGAAAAGAGATATGGAAATAATTAATATTTTCCAGCTTCAGGGAGATGGAAGTATCTGTAAGCAGGTACTGGACAGTGTCCTTTTAAAATACCTTGCTTCCCTGTAAATTAGCAATTGAACAGGTTGCTGGGAGTGGAGAAGAAGAGAAAACATCTAAAAACCTTGTCAAACAGTACCGTGACACTTATTCCCAAGCCGCTATCTTTTTTGGCTAGTTCGACCTCAAAGATATCTCCAGGTTTAAGAGGTGCTGCGGAAAGCTTTTTAGAATTCATTTTGTTTGCTGTATTCACTGAGGAAGACTCCTTTACAAAAAAAACAAAAAAACAAAAACAGAAAAAAAAGACAAAAAGAAATAATGATTCCCTGTTAGAGCAGAAGTTAATTATTAGTTCCCACTGTGCGTTTACGGGTGAGACAGAGCAGAAAGGGGTTAATTGAGAGCACTGGTTAATAAAATAGGGTTCAGATTCTTTCCTACTGTAAATGCATTTATTGTACTTGAATGTTCTTAATCCCGGGATGAACTTGGTCCATATTGGCTAACTGTTTTTATAGACCAGTACACTTGTATGAGCTGGTCTTTAAAATGAAGGAATCATTGTACCAGGAACTCAGTGAGGCAGATCCTCTGATGGGGTAAACTGGTGTAGCTCCACTGACCTCAAAGGACATTTCCATCAACTGAGATCAGGGCCATTACCTTTAGGAGTGAATGTAGAATGTGCTCAGTCAGTTTACTTTTAGACAGGCAGAGCATCAGATCTCCTCTGCTCACTGGATGAATGGAGAACAAATACATTTTCCTTTTTTTTCCCTCAGACCCTACCCAGGACGACTCGTTTTGCTATGAGCTGACCCGTTCATCCCAGATAGTATCACTGCTTTTCCCTAATGCAGGTAAAACTCAATTTACCTGGTCTGTAAAGAAACTGATACCTGTGAATATGGTCATTTGCTACGATCACCTTGGCCAAATGATGCCTTTGGATGAGCATGCAGATTTTCTATTGCAATCAATGAGACTCTTACATACACATCCAAGGGCAGAATTTGGCCCCTTTAAGGCTCAAAGAAGAGTTATGCTGGGGTTAAGCAAGAAGGCTCCCACTAGAGTAAATTGTATTCAGGCAGCTAAAGCCCTAATAACCTCTTTGAAATTTTGGGAGTACTTTTTTTTCCAGGTAATTTGAAAAAACCTCGAATGGGTTAGAAAGATACATTTTAAATCGTGGTCTGTTTATTCAGTTCCCTTATCTGCCATACATTTGAAGCACCAAAGGGAGTTAGCATTAGAAAATCTGTACTTCAACTTCAGTACCAAATGCGTTAGCAGTTAGCAGTGGAAGCTGCAGATTGTCCCTCCCTCCATCTGCTCCCTTCCCCTCAAGCACTACATTAACAATCTACAGCAGACTAGTCAGCCACGTATATGAAATTGTTTGAAAGCGTTCAACAGAAGTGGACTGTGCCTTTTTAGCTGCCTGTTGCTCCTGACTGCTAGAGTAAGTTGCTTCATCCATGTCAGAATCCCCTCGGTCAGAATAATCCACGGTTTCCACTACCCCAGGCCTTTTCGCTTTTGCCTGGATGCCGTCCGCAGAGTTCCTTTTTTTCTCATTAGTTTTGGAAAGGGCAGACTGAGAATCACTGCAGTGCTGCAAACCCTGCTGGGCTCTGTCACCAGTGTGGTTGCCAAAGAAGCCATTTGTTTGGCTCTGAGACAGGCTGGCACTTTCAGTCCTGGAATCTTGGGAGCTCAGGCTTCTGTCCCGTTTGCCCACAGACAATCCAGATGAACTCCCCGAGATGGGCCTCTGGTGACCTTGGGATCTGCTGTGTTCCTCTGAAGATGATTCTGCCTCATTGTCCTGCATTGACGAAGGCCTCCTTAAATAACCCTTTGTTCCATTGGCAAGATTTATAGATGACACTGAAAGATCAAAATCCAACAATTAACAAGTTACATTTACTCTGCTACAAATACAGAAATCATGATTACTCAGGTTAACACAAATGACAATCTCCAATCTTATCAACGAAGCAAGGACATACACTAGTTGCACACAAAATTTACAGTGATACATTTCTTATATAATCCAGTATTGGAGCATGGACTCAAACTCAGAGATTTATAGTAACAATTTAAACCTTCAGACTATTTCTACACTATTCCGCAGCGTGGACTACAGGGGGTGTGAACTGAAGAGTGTACCAAAATGTTGCACTCTAACTGCCGCGTGTGGATGCTGCTGTTGTGAACTAAAAGGTACCCAGTTCATGTTAACATAGTCCTCTATTAAACAGGACTATGTTAACGTGAGCTAGTTACCTTTTAGTTCATGACAGCAGCGTCTACACGGTGCAATTAGATCGCAACATTCTGGTGAGCTCTGCAATTCACACCCCTCGTAGTCCACACTGCGGTGCAGTATAGACAAGCCCTTAGAAAAGCTAAATCAGACATTTGGTTCTTCAGAAGGTCATTAAAAGTCCATCATGAGAGGTCTTAGGGTGCGTGGGTGGAAATCAATCTCTCCTATAATGAAAGGTAAAGGAAAAAACAAAATTTGTAATATAAATTTAAGGATGTTTTAAAATACCATTGGAAAGTTTGTCCTTGGGCTGAGAGATGACAAGTGTCACATCTTCAGGAGCAGTCTCCAGAATTTCTAATGCTGCATGATGGCTGACACCCTCTAAGCTCACGCTGTTCACTGATATTAGACGGTCTCCTGCACAAAAAGATTTGTTCAGATACAAACAATCCAGAATTTATGTTTCCAGACTTTAATGAGGTAGCAAGGTTATATCTGTGTGCAAAGCTCTTTGCTCATTTTCATCCTCAGTAGTTGACACTGAACATCAAAATATTTGGCCAATAAAATTAAAGGAACACTGTCAAATTGAAGCCTAGACAAGTTTTTAAAATGAGTTTAAAGTAACTTCAGCTCCTAAACACCTGTCTTTGTCTCCCTGACAATTTTGGTGGGATTACAACTACATTGTTCTCTAATTTATAAACATTTCTACATTCCTTATTGCTGTGTGAAACACAAACAAATAAAAAGGGAAACTGAGTAGTGAAACAGTGAAATTGATTATCCATAGTGCTGTCAAATGCACAAAGTAAATACGGTGAAAAAGTTGAGATTAGGTAAACACAATTTTAGGAGTGACTTGTGACAACAATAAATTAAATTTTTTCAGATAGAAGTGTGGTTTTGTGCTGTTTAAAACTGAAATAAAGTAGCCATCAAATAGTGAAGTCAAACATCATAATTTCTTTACATGAATTATAATAATTTTCAGACTACTTAGGACTTCTACAGAACATTTCATTTCATAGTGCGTAATGATAATCAATCATTAATACTTCTGAAGTAATTATCAACATGTACGCTCCATGGAGAAATAGAGACAGACATTTAAGGGGCAACCTCCCACAGCCAGAGATGGAGTCAGTTAGAGACAGGACTAGAACGAAGGAGTTTCTGGCCCCCAGTCCTTCGTCTGGAGCACATCTTTCTCTAATCATATAATTTACCTGGTTTTAAGGACCCATCCAAGTCAGCTGGCCCTCCAGGAATTACTGAATGAATAAAAATTCCCAGATCAAGTTTTCCAGTCTTCTCCCCACCAACGATCTGAAATCCTATTTAAAAACAAACACGCACACAATGATGTCAACCATTCATTCATTCTTTACAAGTTTATATTTTGCCATTTGATACAAAAGATGTATTACTCTAGCAGTTTTTAAGATCACACATATGTAAAAGTGACCTGCAAAAGGAAAAGACTGCTGTCTTCTCCATTTTTTTTTTCATTTCTATGTTGCATGAAGAAGGCTTAAAAGGTTTATTTCAATAATATTTTCTTTTCTGCTTGATTTTTACCTAAGAAATTCAGACCTTGCCTAACTGGCTTTCCTGAAAGTCTCTAGGGATGACTGGAAAACCTGGAGGACTGTACATCAGAGATATGAAGGAAGTCTAAATTAATTCATTGAGCACGTTTGAGATATTTTTTATCGATTTAGAAGGTTTGGGCCTGCTTGTTTTGTTAATGTTCAGACATTTGAGTTCAATGAACAAGACTTAGAGTAAATCTCTCTTGATTAAAGATGTAACACTCTGGCCTGCTAGTTAAGGCTGACAACCCTCATCTAAGACCTGCAACGTGTCTCTCCAGGTAAACCTGGGAAGACCACACTTGATTTTCTTCTTCTTTATTTTCAAGTCCCCACCAGCTGCCTCACACACACACTTCTCCCACGTCTTAAGGTTATCTTTAAGAGATTTGTTACAATCTACGAGTTTAAGGCTCAAATATAAATAACGTTTCTTCTTGGTATTTTCCCCATTTGGAATTACACAGTGGTGATACACTGAATCTACAGAGCAACTGTCAAAAGGCCACCTCAGAGGACATCACAAAGGTGGGCCAGATATAAAATTACTCTCATTTTTCATATGGGGACAATTTGCCCAGGATCACAAGGCAATCAGTAGCAGAGCAGGGACTATAATCCACTTCTTTTGTGTCTCGTTCCTCTGCTTTAAACCATGAATTAATGTTCCCTCTCTGATGAAATTGTGTGTTATATAGCAGAGGAAAGCAGTAAAAGTAGTTCATAATGGCTTTGTCATGTTTTTTTTTTAAATCTCACAGCTGTCCATGTTACCTGGACACAGACACAAACCTGACAGCCCCCTTTTAGAGCAATTTAAACGAGAATAATTTGGAATGGCATTGAGATTTCTTTCAGCAGGTTACTGGCTTACAAAAGTAATGATGAAATTTTACTGATACGGAGCTTTTCAAAGGGATGTACAGATCATTATCTGCATTTGACAGACAAGGAAACTCAGACAGACTTGGCAAGGATCATTCATCAGAGCCAGGAATAGACTCTGTGTCCCCAAATTCCGAGTCTGAGATCTTTCCACTGACCTATGCTGCCTTCCCCCAACCACGTTTCCTCAGTGTGTGTGCATGTGCATATATATATATATAAAGTAGAAATAGTCTATTTCACTTGTGTCCTCCATACAGTTACCGGATCACAAGGCTTTAGCAACTTACCTAAGCCATGTTTTTCATCTTTTTTCAGATTCACCAAGGTGATCTCCCTTTCTGGCAAGGACACTATAAACAAGGCAGAGCATTGAGTGTCTATTGAAAAGTCATCATGTGATAATAAAACATATTGACTGGACATCTGCAAAGTGATGTGCCTTTTATGTTCATTTTTATATCACTCTGTTTACAGGACTTGTAACTCCAAAGGGCACTATCGAGTTTGACAAGTCTAAACATGGACCTGCCTCAGCGCAAGGGCCTGGACTTGATGACTTCTCGAGGTCCCTTTCAGCCCTACATTTCTATGATTCTGTTACCTACTCCTCTGCCCATTTTACAGATGAATTAAAATACCATTCAATTCTCTCTTTTTTAAACCAAACAAAAGGACTCTTTTTCCTTCCTCCGTGTAAAAAGCAGTCTTTAGGATATACTGTTTGGGGCCACAATCTCGCAAGCTCTCTGATTTTGCAACATATTGGTCCCATTCAGCAAAGCACTAAAGCATGTGCTTAAGTGTTTCACTGAATAGGGAAAGACTTAAGCACATGCATAAAGTTAAGCCTAGGTTAAGCGCTTTACAGAATCAGAGCTATTGAATTCAATGTGGGACTGGTGTGCAGGAAGAGGCTCTAAGTTTCTTAACTCCAGCACATCTGCAAATTTCTCTCTTTGCATTTGCTGTAGTTTGATAAGTTAAGTTGCTTTAATCTTACAAGCTTTGAATGCCCTCAAATTTTATCCATGTCATTCTTAAAGGGACCCTGTCAACTTGAAATAGGCCCCAACATTTAGATTCTGAAATATAGTGCTTTTGGGGGGAAAAACCCTGTTCCAATACAAAATGCTGTTTTCCAGATTTTTTTTTTTTAAATGAGTTCCTGTACTTGTGCACAGGGTCACCTAGAGAAGTGCTCCCTTGCCTGCTTACACAGCAGGCCGCAGGACAGGAGAAGAGCTGCTATAGCACAGTCTCCCTCAACGTGACAAAGAGCAGCTGCAGGCCACTATAAGCCTCCTTGGCAGAGAGTAACATGAGCCATTTCCCCTGGTCCTATCCCACTCCATGATTCACCATGAGACACAGATCAGGAGTGCGGGGAGCTCTTACACTGGGACATCTTCCAGGGAGACAACTCTACCTCCTCCTTGAAACAGGAAACCCAAGCCCCCTACCACGATAGGAGTGAGGAAAGAGGAACCGCCCCCAGATGAGAGTGGAAGGAGAGAAGAGCAAGCACGTGCCAGAAGTGACGCTTCCCCAAGACAGGAGGGATGTAGAAGGAACAGCCAGTGCCCTCAGTGTAAGTGGCTGCTGAGGGGTAATTGGCGCGTACCACACATCATGTTGGTGTTATGTTTAGTGCTGGCGGCTAAATATTTGGCGAGTGCTGTGTGTGTGGTGATGTGCAATATGTCGTGTTGCGTCATGGCTGTATTTTTGGGAGGGGGGAGACTGGTCAGGGATTGGCTGGAGAAGAAATCACACTAGTGTCTGGGGGTGTTGTTTGGAAGGTGGATGGTAAGGGATTGGCCGGATGGGACAGGGTAAGGTCAAAACACACAGTAGTATGGTGCAAATCAAACAAAACCAAGGAACAACTAAGTTACATTATACAACTGAAATGCATTTACTCATATTGGCATCACTAGTTCGGAGGCTGGGATTGGGAAGATGCTATCACCACAATCTGGCCCTACAGATTGCATAGGGGCTTTTAGAGCACAGTATCAGCTCTGCGAGGTCCAGGGGTGGCAGGTTTGTCGAAATTTTGGTGGTGCCCAGAACCCGCCCATCCAAACTCTGCCCACCCAAACTCCGTCCTGCACCTACCTACGGCTCTGGGAGGGAGTTTGGGTGGGGGGAAAAGGTCTGGGGTGCAGGCCCTGGGCTAGAGCAGGGGATTGGGGTGCAGGCTCTGGGAGGGAGTTTGGGTGCAAAAGGGGTGAGAGGTTGGGCTCTGGGAGGAAGTTTGGGTGGGGGAGGGGGTCTGGGGTGCAGGCTCTGGGATGGAGTTTGGATGCTGGGTGCAGGCTCCAGGCTGGGGCAGGGAGTGGGGGTGCAGGAGGGAGTGAGGGGTGCAGGCTCCAGGCTGGGGCAGGTGTGCATGAGAGGGTAAGGGGTGCAGGCTCTGGGCTGGGGCTGGAGGAGGGGGTGAGGGGTGCAGGCTCTGGAAGGGAGTTTGGAGGCGGGGACAGAGGGAGGGGATGCAGGGCTCTGGGAGGGAGTTTGGGGGTATGGAGGGGTGAGGACTGTAGGGTGTGGCTGAGGATCAGGGGTTTGGGAGGGGTCTCAGGGCTAGGGCAGAGAGTTTGGGTGAGGGCTGGTGGGTGGGGCTGGGGGGTTCATGATGCAGGAGGGGGCCCAGACCTGGGGCAGAGAGTTAGGGTGCCAGGGGATGAGGGGCTGAGGTCAGGGATGAGGAGTTTGGGGTGTGGAAGGGGCTCAGGATTAGGGCAGCGGGTTGGCATGCAGAGGGGTGAGGGCTCTGGCTGGGGGTGCAGGGGCTGGGGTGGGGCTGGGGATGAGGAGTTTGGGGTGCAGGCAGGCTGCCCCGGGGGGGCTGGGGCCAGAGAGGAGGACTCCCCCCAGCCCTCCCCCCGCTGGCAGCACACTCACCCCCACCACGGTCACTGCATGTGCTCCCAGAGCCCCTCTCAGGTCCCCTCGCCTACGCTGTGGTGGGTGCTGGGGGGGGCTGCCATCACATGTGCGCCTCCTCCGCTACGGCTGCCCCTCACTGGGGGGGTGAGGGGTGGGGCTGCCCCTTGCCCAGCAGGGGCAGGAGCGGTGACTGTGGGCGGGGGGCCCTGCATTGGTGGAGGGTCCTGCTGGAAAATGTAAGGGCACGAGGTGGAAGGGCAGGGTAAGGGCAGCCTGCCCTGCCACTAGTGGATGGGTGGCACTAGGACCCTGCAGCGGCAGCTGATGCCTGCTGGGAGCCAGCAGAGCAGAGGCAGCCTGGAGCTGCAGGGACGCTCTGGGGCCTGGGGCAGTGAGTGGGAGCAGCAAGTGGGGGCTGAGAGACGCTTGGGGAAGGGGTGTGGGGGGGCGGGGGGGACGGGGGCGGCGGCAGGCAGGGCCGGGGGAGAGACCCGGCCCCAAACATTGTTGGAGCTGGGCCCCCGGGCTCTGAATATTGCTGGAGCCTGGGCACCACGGACCCGTACAACTTGCTGCCCCTGGCAAGGTCACCGTGCTGGTGCATGTTAAGTAGGAAGTATCAGGACATGACAACCAACTGCCTTGGGAAACATATGAAAACAAGTCACCACTGGAGAAGGTCAAAAGAAACGAACAACAAAAACCAAACACACCCAAACACACCACAATTTGAAAAGAAACTTCACTTTCAGTTTTTAAGGTGTTACTAGCAGCGTACCAAAGGGAAAAAATGACTCCTAAAGAGCATGATTTTTAAGGTGACAGCATCCCTACAAATCTCAAACAACACAGGCTGCTGACTGACTATATTTAGCTGTGACCCTTTTGGAAAATCTCTCAAGAAAGTGAGTCAACATCAGCTGTTAGAAGTTAAATTTAAAAAAGTAAAGGGCACCCATCCCATTATCTGAAGACAGTGTCCAATAAGATGACAAAAGGGAGCAAGTGACAACGGTAGTCAAGAGGGCAGTAAAAGCATAAAGCACGTGTTTAAATATCATGAAGAGATTTTATTAGAACCCTACCATTTTCTTTCAGTGGCGCTGATGGAGGATTTCCAGAACTATTCATGCTAATACCTGGAATGTAAATGCAACTATTAGAGATTTAACTAACAATATTTCAACCTTCTTAATAAAACTAAAGTACTTCTTGGTAATGTCTATATACAGCGTATGCAAAAGTTGATCCATGATATTGCGTTACTTATTCATACTGAACATGGGTAAAGCCAGAGATTTTGATTTAGCAAAATCAAATTACAGGTGCATCTCGGTCCTGTTCCAAAGTTCAGAGTGGCAGTGGGTTGGAGAAAAGGAGGAATCAGTAAAGAACTGAGGGTCTCTGAGGCTATTCTCAACTTCATATAAAAATTTAACATTAAAAAAATCTTATCAATAAAAATAAAGTCAAAGGCTAAAACTACTAACATCATACAATGTATACGCACAACTAATTAATGTACACTAGACACAGGAAAATTCCTTTCTTTGTGGGTCAATAAGAATTACAACAACAACAAAACTGTCCAGGTTGAATTTTTCGTTGAATTTTGCATCTCCAGATAAAACTTATCTAAATGTACAAGTCCTCATTCATATTCATAAATTGAAACTGCCCTATTTAAATTGTCATCTCTTTGTACTCTTAAAATATCCCCAGCAATACATAATCCAGGCATAACGCAATGGTTTCTTTTTTTTTTTAAGTGCCTCTGAGGTTTAGAAAGTTATGCATAGCCTTGCTCCCTGCAATTCTTGATTAGCAATGCTATGCTAATACAAACCAAACAATTTTTCTGACTTATGTTCTCATTTCTTTTCTCCACCCTCCATCGGAAAACAATTTCTAAGAAACTGCTGGAGTTAAATGATGAGCCTCAGCTGAATATCTATCTACCAACAGATTTGTGTCAAGGAATACATTTTCTATGGAGGTTTTAATTTCAAGATGATATTGCTGTACTACAGAGAGCAGCAGGGGAGTGACAAACAGAGAACTCCACGACCACTTCCACTTAAAAATCGGAAACATTTAATTCTAAGTTCTCTATCCCCTGTTAACATATTGCTTTTGATCCCTGTCTTGCCAAGGTCATGCAGAGGGAACAGTTATTACTGTGCAGAATCCCACTCAAGACAATGGGACTGGCAAAAGCATCTGTATTTGTGCCCCAAACCCTTTGCAGAATGGTGGAGTAAGATTATGTCAGTTAGTTACAGGTCCACAGAAGGATAAGGGTCCTTCAACCACCTGCCACAGCAATTCGGTTCCGTTCTTTTAGCTCAGTTATTAGAGGCCCATGTTTCTGGAGCTGAATAAACAGGCTTATAATTGTAGCATCATCTGCGTGTGTGCACACACAAACACTGATCATGTGTATCTTTTTAGAGCTTCATAATTCCTCAGAATAACCATAAGATATAGCATGCACATTGCTGTCACAAGAATCCTAGTCATTCAGGATTCCTGCTACCAGGGCTAACGGAGATGGAGGGAACTCTGTAGGTACTGCTCTGAGATACGGGACAATAGCCAGTTCATGCCCAACTCAGCCCATCTCCAAGAAACCAACCTTTTCTCCAAAGACACTGCAAATGTGGGGGTGGGGGTGGAAAGGTAGGCCGGTGATGAAAGACAAAAATCCACAGAGTAACTGATGTTCCCAAATAACAGAACTGGGAAAAGTTCTTTGGAACTTTAAGCACTATTTGCACACAGGTTTGTTACTTTTACAAAAAGGGGATTTTTCTGATTTGTTAAAATATTTTGATTTTAAAAAGAAAAATCAAAACACAACCAAAAAAAATCCATATGTAAAGGCAACACAAGCCAGTAGCAAACAGTTCCTTAGCAGGACACTAAAGCAAACTGATACCCTGTACATTAAAGCCTTACATCAGAGAATACTCTAGAGTTTAGTTAGCAAATAAAATAATAATACTTTTTCCGTGCTGACCTACAACATAAGCTTGACCAGTATCTTCAATGGATGATGAGTCTGATTCATTTTTCCTCCTTTCAAGGCTTCTATTTAAACCTGCAAGAGATTTTGAACTAAACAGGATGGGGAAAGAAATGGAAGGAGGGAGGGAGGGAAGGAGGGAGGGAGAGGGGAGAAGTCAATGTAATAAAATAATAATATAAATAATAAATGTGGTAGAAATGAAAACTGATGTAAAAATGTAGCTGCATTGCATAAAAAGACAAAGCTTTGGGAAGCGAGAGTGATTCTTACTTGTTCGGTTTCATTGCTCCAGCCATTGACCCAGCTTCAGATTTTGGCATCTGTTGAAAGATTCTTCCTATCAGCTCCTCCATTTTCTGTGGAGAGGAATCCACAGCGGTGATAACATTTTTCCGATGGGGGTAAATAGAGATCTGGCTCTGACTCAGATCATGAAATGATTTGCTCATGGCTCTGGGTCTTTCCTCCCATGAAGCTTTCTCATTCTTCTCTTTGGAGCAGCCAGGAAGTGGTTGAAAAAGTGACAGCTCAGAGCAGGAGAGTCTCTTCAGAATTTCAGCTTGAACTGACAAAGGTCGGAGCTTGTTCAAAGTACTGCTGGCCAGACTGCCTGTACTGATTGCACGTCCCATGTTAAATCCTTTAACGGACTCTGTGTGAAGGTTCAGACTCCTAAATGATGCTCTCTCTGCAAGGAAACAGGACTGATTTACACAAATTATAATCCTGACGTACACTTTTTCTTTTAATTTAACATCTGCTGATGTGATATATTTAAAACTAGTGGACACAGAACATTTTTAACCTTCGCTTTTAAGTATAAGTGGATTGTACGACTAAAATGGCCTGGAATATCTAGCTCAGAGAGAATGGCTTGGATTTAGTTACAGTATACTGACCTCAGCTTAGTCTACACTTGAGTCAATTCCACAGCACCAAACCACTCAATATTTCTCCTGAATTTCACTACAAGACTGAGATCTGCACTGCCATCAGTGCACAAGAGTTTTAATACAGTGTTGGTTAAAATCCCCCCAAAGGCCTAGGTAAGTATCCATGAGTTTAGATGCCTGTTCAAAACTCTACTCAACATTTCTGGGATCTCTCCTCTTCAAAACCTCCTAATAAGTCTCCCAATCTCCTTCCCCATCAGGCTTCTCACCATCCCTGAGCTTTGTCCTTGCAAATCCTTGACTCTTTTCCAGCAACTGACTCTGGCACTTTGCCCCTCCCTGCCAGCAATCATTCAGCTAATCCCTGCCTCCCACAATCTTCCTATAACTGGGTCCACTACCACTGAAGTCCCTGTTGCAGGTCCAGCAGGTTTGGCAGCCTCTCTTCTGGACGTGTGCCATTGCAATCAGGTTTCTCACTCTTTGGGATGTCCCCAACTGGAGAAGCCCCAAAGTGCTTTGACATAGAATAGAACACAAGTGTTGCTTGGAGCTCAGCAGTGCTCTGTAGATAACATTGACTCCTGTAACAGGATTCTCTCAGTTAAGGGGGGCAATACTGAGATCTGGAAGCTAGGCAGAAAGAGAAGAGTTAAATAAAGTCAGTTGATCAGAGCCCATTATAGACCCGGAAGTTCTGGATTCAATTCAGAAGAAAGTCTGAGATACACCCATCCTTAATTTACATATGCTAGTACAGTTCATGCTCACAGATGGGAAATAAGATGCTTAAGAACAGAGAGAAACTTAGCTCATACGATTCCAACTCAGTATGATTTGATGGGAAAACCCTGTTTCTCAGCTGGTACAGTACACCCATTAAATATTACTATTAAAGTACCGTGGTCACCATTTAAAGTCTATTTGGCAACAGTTACCACACAACAGTGGAATCCGAGATGCAACAGTTTCCTCTGATTCTTAGAACATGAAATAACTGTGATAATAATTTAGCATTTTCTATACAAAGTATGCAGACATACAAGGAAAAATTTATTTAACCAAGGCACAATTGGCAAGTTTTTAAAGGAGAACCAGTGTGCACATAAGTTTTTCTTAAAATGGTCTGATATCTGCTGCTCCAAGATCTCCCCTAATGTTTATTCCACGTTTTGGTGAATCTCCTTGGAGAAGAACTCTTCAAATAGCTACAAACTTCACATCATGTCCTCTCATTCTGCCAGCCCCGTGTAGGACTTTCCAAAAATCCTGCTAAATGCTTACACACGCTCTAATCAAGTCTTCTGTCTCTCTTTTCCCCTAGGCCAAATGTACTCAACTGCTTGAAGTCTTTCCTCCTAAAACCGACTTAATCCTTAACTAATCTGCACAGTCCTTCTATGCACTCTTTCAAGAATCTGAATCTCCAGTGTTTAAACTTGTGGCCAGTACTGTACTCAATATTCCAAGTGTACTCTTACGAAGGTTACATAAAAGAAACCATTGTGGCTTGATTTATAAATAATCTCCCTTCTTATGCATCGAAAGACCTTGTTAGCTGCCTTTTTATTTTTGGCAGCCATCACACACTGAACTCTTTCCTTTGAGCTATCGTCTCCCCTGACTTTCTCATCAAGAATGCTGTTCAAGGAGATTAGTGTTCTCCAAAATCATGATCTTACATTTACATTAAAATCCCATGCACTCTAGTCTTCTGCTCACCTCCCTAGCTCGCTGAAATCCTCCTGCAGCAAGTGCACAACAGTCACAGTATGCTACGCTCCTCTCATTTGTGTGACTCTTCTCAAATCTATCAATAAATCATCTGTTTTAATAGCAAACAGCGATTGCTGGTAATAGCATTAAGTTTTGAGGAAACCCACTTGCACCCATCATACGGGGGGAGGGCGTGTGTGTCCTTTTTTATTCTTACTCTTCATACAAATTAGCTGGTTGCAATTAATTTACCTAGGTCAAGTACTGATGCCAGCACCCTTTATCTTACTACGTTCCCATGAGATTCTTTATCAAATGCTTTGCTAAAACCAAGGTAAGGGTCAACTGCTCTCCTTTTAGACACCATACATTGTACTTCCAAGAAATGGGTCATAGCCTCATTCAAATCCTTATTTATAACCTGCCAGCTGCCCTTGCCCATGGAACACTATCTAATGAGTTAGTATAATCTATTAGAGTTAGTATCATCTCTTGTTAATTTATACTACTAACCCTCCCCTCCATCTAAGGATGTACACTTTCTATTATAGACACCTTGTGTTCTTATTACAGGCACCCATGCCTTCTTTCTCCCCCATTCTGCTGAGTTCTACATCCACCTGTTAGATCTTGTTCCCTATTTAGATTGTAAGGTCTTTGGGACAGGGACTCTTAGCTTAGGTTTGTACCAAGCCCAGCACATTGGAGCAGAGATCCTGATGGAAGACTCTGAGCACCACTGCTATATAAGGATTATTATTATTAATAAATAATAATAATAATAATACTGCACTATTTTGTTTATTTACATTGTGGTTGTTTCATTTTAAACTGTATGTTGTTTAACATCTCTGCACAACTTTTTGGATATTACTGTATACATTTTTCTATTAATTCTGTAGGGAATACAGGCTGGGCAATCACTTTAAAGGAGTCTATCAAAACATATTAATAGTTCCATTGTGAAACTGTGGAGGAAAGCACGATTTCCCCCTTACATCAGTTTCATTTTTGAACAAATGGAATTCTCTTAGATACTTAATTTACTTCTTGCTCAGAATTGATGGATGAACTCCCAGGCCTCTGAATTCGCAGAAGGGTGCTGTGCACACAAGCAAAACAAATCTATTAGTCTCCAGATTCCCATAGCAAAACACAAGCTGTGTGTATAAAAGTCACTGAGTCTGGCTGGGCAAGAAAGCCTTGCATGCAATGTCTTCTGTGCTTTTTAGAATAAGCTGACATTGAGTTAGAATATGGCTCAAAGGACTTGAGTCATTTTGTTCCATTTCTTTATGCTAAATGGTCTGCAGCGTCTGATAGAACAGAAAAGCTGCGCAGTTGCCATGATCAATTCTCTCTTTCATCAGCTATCAGCATTTCTACAGCAGTGGGGCCAGACTCTGATCTCAGTTAGACCAGTGTAAATCTGTAGTACAGCAATTGGTTGTATAGGGGAGATGTCTCTGCAGACTGACTGAAATGTAAAACAAAGTAAGAATGAACAAAAGAGACTGAACAACATACCACTTTGGGGGCTCTATAAAAAGCCAGTGGACCAACCAGGCTGCATTCCAGGTAGAAGCCAAATAAACACTGCTTATCTATTTCAAGGAGGAGAGCATTGTTTAATCCAATTTAAGTTACTAATCTACAAAGGAATCTTTTTCTTGTATTTTAGCCACTCACATTAAGATTAATTGACAACTACTTTCTGAAGAAACCAATTCACACTGAGACAGTTCTTTTTTTGATGGTTGTCTAGAAGTTTTAATTAGCATGTAAATTAGACATCCCACTGCTTAAGAGATGTGGTGTTATGAACTGCTTCCCCTCCTGTTTGCAATCACATGGACCTCCTCTCCTATCTGCATTCACACATCCGGTTGTAGCAACTACCGAAATTGCTCAAATGAAAAAGCAGTATTAGGAAAGTATTTTTAGCTTTCTTTTACACAAATGTAGTGGCTGGAAGCAAGGAGAGCCAGCACCATGTGACCAGCCAGCTCTCTTCAGATCACAGCTTGAGAACAGCTGGCCTACTATACTTTCCTTAGAATACAGACCCTCCAAATGTAGCAGTACGTGGATGGGGCTCAATGGAATTACTACAGTACTCGCACCTTTTTTTTTTTTTTTTCTTCATATAAATATACACCGCTGTCGTTCTTAAAATAGAAACCCACAGTCCTTACCAATGTCCTGAATGTCTTGGTTGCTCTGTCTGGCTCTCATCTGTAGCTGGAATTTGTGCTGGGAAGAGCAGAGGTGCAGGAGGTATTGGCAAGTCTTACTCGTGTCAGTTTGGAATGCATGCTTTATACCATCTGACACATTCTGCAGAGTTACTTTCTTTTTCTATAAGATGAAAAATAGGTCATAAAAATGTTGCTGTTTTTCAGCCTTGAGAGAATGTAACATGTTTCTGTGCAACCAGGTGTCAGGAAATAAGGCTTACTAAAGCAAATTGCATTAACCGGATGCATTTTTAACATATAAACAATTGTATCCATTTAAAATAATGTTAGATTTACACAGTGACATTCCTGCATCAAAAAACAACAACTACATAGTATCTCAACCAACCCAAAGTACATTCAATTCACTGTTTACTGTTGGGTCAGCAACAAACTAACAGCAGCAGTTTCTACCTGAACTTGTAGGGTAGAATTCTAAAAAAGCCCCTAAGGGAATTACAAACCCATCTGCCATTGAAAGTTCATGCATGCTGGGTGCCTAAATCCCTTTGATAATTATGAAAATCTTAGCTGGTGTCACAGGCCTTATCTTCACTACCAAAAAAAAAAAAAAAAAAAAAAGAGAGAGAGATGTGCTCTTAACCTGAGTTAGCTAACTTGAGGTTAAACAGAAGTGAAGGCAAAGCAGTTTGTAGTTTTCACAAAAGTTAGTAGGTTGCATTAAAGACTTCTCTTCTTTGTCTGTTAAAAGACTAGCGCTTGAAATTCCAAACCTATCAACACTTACTTAACCCATTAGATCATCTGAAAGTGTCCCTATTGAGTTGAGCATTTGTTAATATTGTCCTGATTAAGCATCAGATATTGGCACTCATTATCATTTTGCTAAATTGCTCCTGGGAACATCATAAAGCAGCATAAGTGGATTTCTTAACTGTGTGGAGTATAGTATATTTGTCACACAAGCCCACTACCTTGAAATTCTTCCTCTGGCGCCACTCAGCAGGCTGTGCCCCATCTCACCCATACTCTAGGAGTGCCGCCTATGGCTATAACAAGTGGGCAGGCTTTCTCCCTGTCTTCAGGATGGATTCTTGCCTTTATTTGGAAGAACTTCCCCTTGAGTTCAGGGAAACAACACTCCCTGGGAACAAGGTGCTGCATGTAAAGGGCTAAGTGAGCCTAGAGCTCCCTTCAGAGTGGGGAAGGGGAATTTGCCATTCCTACCCTGAAGATCCTGTTGCCAGCTGGGTTGGTGTGGACTCCTCCCTTATCTGGCAAACCCTGGAGAACAGAGATGAGTCAGCTACTCCCAGAAAACAATGGAAAGGAAGGGATCCCTACCGTGGTATTTCAGGGCCATAGGAGGGTTTGGAAAAGTTGTGGGGAGGGTGTTTACGGGGCCTTTGGGAGAGCTGAGGTGCTGGGAAGATTAGAGGGACACAAGGACAGCGGTGTGCTGGAGTGGGGTGGTGAGATGGGAGTTATGGGAGGAATTGAGGTTTGAGGGACCACAGGGCATTGGAGTTAGGAGGAGCTATGCTAGGAACTCAGATGGCATTGGAGGCTAAAGGGAGAGGGCAGTGGCTGGGGAGTGAGCTGAAACAGGACTGAAGGGGAGACACAAGTGAGAGGGCGGGGATGAGCTGCATGAGATGTGGGGGAGTAGAGAGAAGGGGCTGATCACAATAGGTGATGGAATCTGAGGCAGCAGAGGGCACCTGCAGGTGAAGGATAAACATGCGGAGATGGGTCCCAGAGTGAGGAACAGCAAAAGGGTGAGATTGGAAGGGAGGGAGGTGCTTAATAACTGTAATTCCTAATGAAAGTACAATTTCCTTTTGGAATGATGTTATGTTATTGTAAATCTAATGGAGAGTAGGGAGCAAATCTCAAAATTCACAAGAAAAGAAGGTGGCAAAAACCCTTCAGGCCCCTGAGCTGTGCTGAGTTTGGAGCTCCTGTGACGTATGGGCCTAGTAACTCAGAACCTTAAACAGCAGAACCCACAAGTTAATCCCATGGAGGTGGAACTCCAGCTCCACAAAAGACATTCACAGATCACACTGCAAAATGCCCAATACAAATACATAAAAATGCAAAAATAATGAATGCAAAGCTAAAAACCAGATATACAGACGTACGCTAAAGGATATTTTCTTTGTTTCTCTCCACGGGAAGCGAAGTACAGGTGTGCGGACTCCATTGTGAACTTCAAAAATAAGAACTCCCTTGGAACACACTCCCAGCAGGATTCCAGTTTGGGATTTCTTCTCAGGCAACACCCGATGAAAATGAACACCATATTCTGTCAGCCTCTGGCACATCTACATAGAGGCACATTTGTGAGACTATGACGTTAAGGATATTAGAAAAATCTACAGGGACACTGATAAGTTAAAAAAAATCATATGGTCACACGTTACATTGAGGTTCGATTCATACAGGATTTATAGACATTATAAACATGTTACAGACATGAGCAGCATGTGTGGTAGATAGTTGTGAGCACATCAGTAGAAGGTGTTATAAATAACTATAAGCTATGGTAATACGCAGTCTATAATAATTAACCAACTGGTTATTTTAAAAAATTTATTAAAGATTTAATAACCTATTTACAAGTGGAACATTAACAAAGTTTTAACGGTCACATTTACTCTTACTTATGTTTCTAACACCACTCTGGATTATTTGAAGTGAGGTGGAGCCAAACCTTTACATGCCACTGGAGGTTTTAAAGTTTGAAAAAAGGCCCCCCCAGCCTTTGGTTAAACAAATCCTGTGATTATGAGAGAATTTGGGCAAACATCCAAAGCTCTGTATGCAGATCAAGGACATGAATCTTCTCTGATATGCTTGACTGAATGCAACCTGGAAAGCCCTTTGCTACAATTTTAATCTTTCCTGGTGACAGATAACTTCCCAAAGTATGACAGCCTTGAATTAGGAGTTCCCATCACATCCCATTTTCCTCACCTGCACGCAGATCAAATTTTGTTACTGTTTTTTTTCCTGTTTGCAGTTTTCAGTTACACTTTCTAATGCTAAATGTTTGTCTTGCCTATGTTCCTTTGTCCAATAGGGTACTGATGTATTCAGTGACAGGTTTACAATGGCTCCAGTGGCTCCATGGAGCCCGGCCCATGCTCAGAAGGGGCCCCAGCCTGCTCCGCTTGCACTGTGCCCCGAGACCCCGCTGGCTCCTCCCGCCCACCACTTGCTCCTCTCAGTCTGCCCGCCGGCTGGCTGAGGGCTCCTCTCCGCCCCCTGCCCCCACCCCCTGCTCCTCTCAGCCCCCTGGCCGGACCCAGTGCACCTCCGGCTCTGGGCAGTCTCTGCTTCCTCCTACCTGTGGGGCCCCACCTGTCTCCCCGGAGCTGAGCTGCCTGGGACTGGTGCAGAAGCCTGGCCAGTCTCAGTCAGGTGGTGGGGGTGGGGCAGGAAGACCATGTGGGGGGCTTGAACCCTCCAGGCAAGTGCATCTTGAGGGAGCCTGGCCAGGGCAGGAACTGGCCTGACTGATCGTGCCACTCCTGAAGGACCGGAGCAATTCCTGGCCCTGGGACTGGCCCTGGCTGTGCTGCCAGCTCAGCCCGGCAGGCAGAGTCACTCCCAGAAGGGTTGGTGAGCACGGCCGGGAGGCAGGGCTTGGGGGAGTGGATCTGGGGGAAGTCTGGGGGTGGGGTGCTGGGCTGTGAAGGGGCGGGGAAGATCTGTGTGTTGGGGCACCAGGGAGAGGAGGTTCAGGGGTGGGATGCTGGGTAGTTGTGGTGGGGTTGTGGGTAGGGGTGGTGTTGTGCAGGGCGCTGTGCATTTGTGGGTGGGTCTGGGGGATCGCTGGGAGTAGTGGGTCTGGGGGGGCTCTGGCCATAGCGAGTTGGGGGGTGTTGAGTGGGGAGGGCTGCGTGGTGGGCATGGGCCCGCCCCCAAGGGGAAGGGGCATGCTGGCAGCACAGGGCCAGGCAGGCAACTGTGCATCTGGCAACTGCTGGTTTGTAAATAGTGCCCTCGCATTGGGCAGAGCAGGGCCATCCCTGCCATGCCATGCCCTGCCCCATTGCCTCTGGCTGGCCCCTCGCTCTGGGGACTGACCTTCCCGCGCCATGTTCCATTGCCTCCATAGGGGCCCACAAATATGTTTGGCGCTGGGCCCACAAAAGGTTAATCCAGCCCTGGATGTATTGTAAGACTACTGAACATTCATTTAGGAGTCAATACTGTTCCCATTGAAGTCAATGGCAAAACACTGATCCACTTCAGTGATGCAGCAGTGGGCCCATATAGCAGAAGTAGCAGCAAACTGTGTAGTTAAGTATCCAAAATTGTTTCCTTTCTAAACTATCATAAAATCGGCAGTTGGCTGTATTCAATCTATCATCTGTGAAAAACAGATGAATGTGTATGTTAATATATACTAGCTATCTTAAAGGTGATCTGGAAAGGAAAGGAAAGGAAAGGAAAGGAAAGGAAAGGAAAGGAAAGGAAAGGAAAAAATTGGGGTTAAATGCCTGTGAAATATTTTCAGTGCTCCCTGCTTCACTGAAGGTGTCCTGAAAGACACCATACTCGAGGATATCCTAGATATGGACAGTATGATTACAATTAAGACTTCGGTTATTTGCGGTATCACGATCTGGGATACCTTTAGTCAACAAATTAGAACAAAGATGATTTCAGAGAGGGGGATATATATAAACTAGGAGTTTCCTTTATAATCGTACGATGATCAGATTCTTTAATATCTGATGACATTTTAGTAATGCACCCAGTGAAACAGCTGAAGGAAGAATATTAAAGGCTTTTCTCCATCATGTACAATTTCCTTTCCTCACTTTTAATAATTGTATCTTTTAAGTGAATCCTCTTAACTTTTGCCTCTCGCCAATGCTATTTTAGAAGACTAACTATTTTCCTTTGTTCTCCATTTCAATTCCAGGCTTTTTATCTATCCCATGTTCCTTGTACAGGGAATCTCACATGAACACAAGGTAACTCAAGAGCTGTTATGACTTACCTTCAAAAATTCTCTCTCTGTTTCTTTTTCAGAAGCACCCACATAAGTGCTATGCAACTTGGGCAGCTCCTCTTTGACGTAGGATAGGTCTAGTTTCTCCATCACTCTAGCTGGTAGGTAATGTTCTAGTCTAAAATAGGACATGCCATGCACCTATAAAGTGAAGCATTTTTATTCTTCATATGTTATTACAAAAACAACCATCTTTTGTGTTTGTGTCTGTGTGTAAAGATGGGCTTCAGCTAAAACCCTGGATCTGAACTTTCTGAGTTGGGGAAAGGAGCTCAGACTCTGAACCCAGAGCTGAGCTAAATTTCATTTTTGGCCCTTCTCTCTATTCTACTATCACAAAGACACTGGGTCTGAGCCAACATCCATGAAATGGCCAAACTACATTGCTGGATCCAAACACTCACAAATATTGAAAGGGACAATGGACTTGACATCCAGATCCAGATCTGAATTCTATGGCAGAGGTTCAACATTCAGACCTGAAATTCTATGGCTGAGGCGCATCTCTACATGAAAGCACATCTGTGTCCTCTCTCCACTAGTCTTCAAACAGCATAACAACTACAAACAGCAGATCAATTGAACTCCCAAAGAACTGGAACATATTCAGCCCTAAACTATACCACAGAGCAACTGCAGTAATTGAATAGCACAAATAGCAGTTGTCTATAGATGAACGTACATCCTACCTCAGCCTGGTAATCTCCATACTCAGCCTGGAGGGCCAGAGATGCCAGCAGTAAAGCTGTCTCATCATCACAGTGCATCCTTTCCTCCAGAAGATCTTTCCGTAGCTGTAGATAATACTGGTGATATGTCAGAGTGTGCCTGGGGGAAAAACAACACACAATATTGTTCCTTTCAGCAATGCTTCTAACAGTGTGCACCTATAACCTGAGGAGGTGGGAGGAAATTAAAAATGGGGAAGGACCCAATTAAGAGGATGATGAGAAAATAATGTTCGGCTACTCACTGTATAAGACTGACATCATCCATGAAAAACTTAACGCGAAAGAACAAGGTAAAGTTGATTGTGGCTTTGCTCTTTTTCTTAGGTTCCTCTTTCCATCCTTCCGGAGCAACTTTAGTTAGTTTTAAGTCAGGATCAACAAAGAAAAATTCATTGTCTGTAACATGGGTGAGAGGAAAGCATTTTCATAAACAGACACTTTCTCTGGCTGCAGAATTAAGATCAACTTTACAATTTTGCAGTTTATTCTTGATGGTTAATATTCTATCAACTAGCAGAGAATTATAATGCACAATAAAATGAGCTAAATGAATGGCTCAGTGGGTAGTAAGGAGAAAAAGTCTTTCACCATTTAAAACTTAACCCAGGATGTAGAGACAAAGTATTTCTATTTGTGATGGCTATTTGGTGGCCTACATGAAATGAGTATGGAGGTCTTAATCCATTTCCTTGTGGTCAGAAAATGACATTACCAAACCCAACACCCCTGGTAGGTGCTAGAAAATTTCATTTTGCTCCCTAGAACTTAAATGTATGAAGAGACTATGGTAAGTAAAAGCCTTAACACACTGGACAGGACTGGTTGGAACCCTGAATCCCTGGTCTGTGGGAAATTCCAAAAGTTAAAATAATCATTCTGAATGAGCATTCCACAGAACGGGAATTCCAAAATTTCAGTTCGAAAAAGTCTAAACAATATTTCACTTCCACTTTCTCTACATGTTTTCCAGGCTCACCAAGCTATTTGGAACCTGCCAGTCCACAAGGTGTGGAAACAGAAGTCTAGAAGTCCCTTGGAAACCTTACAGATTTCTGTCAATTTTGGCAAAACCAATTTTCTGGATCGGCATTTTCCCGTGGAAAGATCTTCTGCTGGAAAATTTCTGACCAGCTCTTACGCTGAATCACTAAGGGCTCAGTGACTAATACCTCTCTGCACAAGTAGCCCTACTGATCTCAGTGGGAATACTTGCATAGTAAGATTGTGCTCAGAAAGAGTAATGTTAGTAGAAGCATTTTGTAACAGAGCATTTTGATCAGACCCCAAGCCATCTCCAAGAGGTCCCTGTTGACTAGAAACACACAAAGTGAAAGACAACTTGGAGAAAAGAAGAAAATGCAAAGTAACAAAGATAAAGGGCCACCCTGATTTTCTTACCGTTATTTAGGTGGAGTAATACCATACAAATTTAAGCAAATGGATCTGTTCATGGAGCAAGGTAAGGGTGGCAGAGCCTGACTTGAAATCAATGGATTGATCATAAATGATTGCTCTGGTCTCCCATCTGCAAATCTTAAATCTTCCTTTGCCTGTCTCCAACACAGCATACTTAGCTAAGTCTAGTAACTTTACACCTCCCCAATTAAAACATCATTCTTACCTTTTAGGCTAGCCAAGCCAAACAAGTGATGCTCCACTAAACCAACATGGGCTACCACCATATCAAAAACATCTTTGCAAATAGTTTTGGTATCACAGGTCAGCTCCAGCCTCTGCCCACTTAAAAGCATTATGTTTACTTTCCGCCTGGTATCCTCGTTCTTCCCTTTCTTAGTCTGCATTTTGTGAAACAAAGTATCAGACCAGTCACATGTGTCATAAAGATGTATTAATAGCTTAATATATTCCTACTACAACTTATTGCTGAATAGACTATTTCTTACCAAGATTGACTTTGGTAGATCCAAGGAGATGAAAGGCTCAATGGTCATTTTCACAAACTCGGGGCCAAAGAAATTCTGCAAATCACAGAAGTCTGAATTAACTCTTTGTGTTTCTACAGCCACAGACTGAGAAGTAATGAATTCTTAAAAGGTGAACTGGAAAGTTGAAATGAACACTGACTTAAACCCAGACGTGTATGCAAATTGTTTCCAGCAGCTTGGTTAGCTGGAAGATTCAACTGTGTCAGTGTGGCCGAAGTTACGTTGAAGGTATGACAAAAATATTTCCTGCACAACATTATTTATATATTTCAATATTACACATAGCTAATTTACTCCTATGCACAAGAACGAACCTGCTGTCATATCATCTTCAGATGGCCATGCCTGATGTCCCAGATGTTTGGGAATCTGACATTCACTGACACGGTTAAAAACTTCAACAGTTCCATTCCACCAATGACGTGCACCATTCATAGGCTTAGTTCTATTAAACCATTCTTCAGTTAGACTAAAAAAAACGAACAAGCTACACTCGCAGACTCATGAGCTAACAAAAAACCCTGATGCAACCTAAGGCTCCGATCCTGCAATGCTGTTCTGGTTGACCCCTGTGCCAGAGAATCCTCACTGAAGCGAATGAGGCTCTGCATGCACTTAAAGATCTGCCTTGTGCAGACCAGCCTTGTGTAGGACTGGAATGTAAGTGCCATCATTGCAGGAGTTTCAAAAACACAACAGAATCTGGCTTATAGTTAACTAAATAACTTTACCTGAATTCAAAGCTGCACAAAGTTCTCAGTCCAAGTAGGTACTAAAGGAGGACACTGGTTAACTTCACTACTTCTAGAACATGCCAACTTTCCTGTTCTCTTTAGGAAGTCACACAAGGAGTTGTCTTTTTTGGGGGGGGGGGGGGGAGTGGGAGAGGAGAGGGGATGAAATACCTGGAGGCCTGAGGTTTTACCTGCTAACATATAATATTCTCTAGAAGTATTTAATACAAATGCCTACATGGTAGCTCATTTAGAAAAGCAAAGAATTTGTGCAGTTTAGATCCTAGATGAATGACTTGGCAAAGTGCTGTGGGTCAAAAAGAGAGACATGGAGGGGACATTACCCTGGGTCATGAACAGGAGCTGGGACGGCCTGAGAGCAGTTTTATTTTTTTAAGCTGATACAGTTCAGGGCACGCCGTAGCAGAGGGCCTCAGACTGACTCCTCGTAGCGTCAGACACTCTATTTGCATGTCTGAGTCTCCTTCTCTCTTCCAACCCTCGGACCCTGCCTACATTTCAAGATGGGAGGGGAAGGGCCTGAGCTCAGGAGTAGAAAGAGAAACTTGTACAGGGACTCAGTGGTGGGCTGTCCTATGGCTGTGTGCCAAGATGCCAGCAGAATCTCCCAGGCCCCTCTTCTCCTTGGTAGGCTCCTCCTACAACCTGCTGGGGATAGAGAGAACCAAACCCGGTGACAAGGGGAGAAGTTGCTGTTGCTTTCAGATCATCCTCCCTGGCCTGGTGAGGGACAGGGGAAAAGATTTCCTGGGCCTGTTGGGGAAAATGAGAATCTACAGAATGACTAGGGTGAGCGAGAGAAGCATGTATGGGGTGAAGATGAGATTCAATTAACAGGAGACTGGAGAACCAACAGAGAAAATGGATTCCAGAACCTGACAGGAAGTGGCACCCATTTAGTTCCAGCATCCAGAGAGTTTGAATGGAAAGAAGCATTTCTCACTGTTATAAATAATGAATTATAACTGGGGGGAAGTGGGATAGGGCACCGAGGGAAGGAACTGTAATTAAGATTGGCATGGCTGAGACGCCTACTGGTCTCAAAGCCAGAAAGAGTTGTCCTAAGTTGTTTGCTTAATGATCTCTGTGCTGTTCCACGCATAGCATATGGAAAGCCCACAAAAAAGACTGAAAAATGCAGAGCATATCAGGACAGTAGAAATGAACAACCCCGAATAAATTGCTTGTACTGCTATTTGGCAGTGAAGTGGTTAACAGCTGTGACATTTAAGTAGTGAAGATTTGTTTTCTAACTTAACATCCCATTAAGCAAAACAGGTCTCTTGATGCTGTTTTAGGATGTGTGGGTACAGAATCCACAAGGCATTAGAAGTTCCAGCTTACATGAGGGCTTTCTTTCCAATCAGAAAAACCAGCCATCTTTATATTTATTTTGTGAATGGCAGCTTTGATTCTGGACAAACAGAAGTGACGTTGGAACTCTAGTTTATTTGAGCATGAGCTTTCGTGAGCTACAGCTCACTTCATCGGATGCATACCGTGGAAACTGCAGAAGACATTATATACACAGAGACCATGAAACAATACCTCCTCCCACCCCACTCTCCTGCTGGTAATAGCTTATCTAAAGTGATCCTTTTCTTTTTGCAAATACAGACTAACACGGCTGTTACTCTGACCAACTTGATGATCACTTTAGATAAGCTATTACCAGCAGGAGAGTGGGGTGGGAGGAGGTATTGTTTCATGGTCTCTGTGTATATAATGTCTTCTGCAGTTTCCACGGTATGCATCCGATGAAGTGAGCTGTAGCTCACGAAAGCTCATGCTCAAATAAATTGGTTAGTCTCTAAGGTGCCACAAGTACTCCTTTTCTTTTTGCGAATACAGACTAACACAGCTGTTACTCTGAAACCCGTTGGAACTCTAAACACCATAGACTTGAATTTCAGTCTTTAAAATAAGTTGAGGCAATGCTCCACCAAAACGAATATTAAGAGTGCAAATGTGTTAAAATGTTACCCTCAGTTTTCTTTGGGTCATGGCTGTTTCCAACGCTATCTCTCTAAGAGGGTCTCTAGTGATGTCCAGCATTGACGTCCTACCCAGGTCTCCTGGGTAGAGGCTTAGTCGAGACTGCCTAAGAGCCATTCTAGCCTGCAGCTGTATCATTTCCTCTTCTTGACGCTTTAACATTATTTCTTGGCTTATCAGGTTGCCTTCAGGTGCTGCTTCATACTGCCTACTTAGTTGGAGGGGAGGAAAAAGATACAGTTATGATTAAAATACAGTTAAGCACTAAGACACCATGGTGATGGGTACAGAGTAAGAACCTAGACCAGACAAAGCAGGAATTCTAGTGTAATAATTTTTTGGGACATTTATTTATTCAGTAACTGAGGAGTTAAGGCAGAATATTCCTGGACTAAAACAGCCTACAGCAATAAATTAATATGGAAAATACCAGGAATACTCCAAGTTTCCATCACTGTTTGTCATCTATTGTATGGGAATAAATGTGCAATTGCAGTCTCTCTACCAAAAACAATGCCACCAAAAAAACAACAACTCTATAGCTGGAAAAAAAAAACTAAGAGTGTTCTGATAAAGATCAGACTTCTCTTTTCCAGCAAGAGGAGTGGATAAGTATATTTTAAAATCTGCATTTGAAAGTAACCAGAATGCATAAACTAGATGACATTTAACAGGCTTACATAACGCTTTCAACTATATTCCTGTAGCAAGTCTCTATTAATTATTTAGATGGGACTGTAAGACAAAACATCTTTGCCTGAATCAGATACAGTTTAAAACATTCGGCATTCAGATTCCTGTAAAATGTTGCATTTTAACTTTATCAATCTGCTGGAAAGAGAGATCTTGTCTTTTAAAATCCAAAAAGTCAATCTTGCCCCTTTGCTGGCTTTTGGTAATGTCTATATAACGAAGAGTCGGGGGGGCGGGGCGGAGAAGACATTTCTCCGAAGTGGTATTTGTGAACGACTCAATGCCTCCCGCCTATCATTTGAGGGCAGAGAAAGCTCTGAATCAAGTACTCTAGCCATCCAAGGAGCCTGCCAGGCAAAAGAGGAAAGAACTACTTTTCTTAAGTCAAAAAACAAAAACAAACCCCAAACCACCCGAAACACAAAAACAAAACAAGAACAAACAAAGTCATTGCACGAAGGAAAAATATCCTTTTTTGTGCAAAAGTTATTTTCAAGACTTCTTTATACATCAAAAAAGGGCACAAATATACTTGATTTCTTCTCTTTTGCAGGCTGCTTATTCAGAAGGAATCAAACGTTTGTGGTATATATCCTTGGGACCCACAGCCAGGACTTTTCCATTCGTGAAAAGCACCCCACCTGTTCCCTCTGCTGCGAAGGGGAAGTCCTGTAGCAGATAAGAAGTCTGCTGGAACTGGTCCCCGTCTGGGTGCCCATGAATGGGGCAGAGTACACTTGAGCATTTCCCTCCAAAGGCATGTCTACATTGAAAATTAAGGTGTAACTGTAGTGCAGGTAGGCAAATCTAGCTAGCACAGGTAACAATAGTAGTGAAGATACAATAGCAGAGGCTTCAGCACTCATTGGCTGCCCCAGTACAAGCCGGAGACCCTGTGTATATACTTGGGTTGCTAGCCCATGCCGTTGCATCTTCTCTGCTATCTCACTCATGCTAGCTAAATGAAAGCGAACACTGGTTTAACTACCTGCACTACAATTACACCTTACATCTGCGCTGTAGACATACCCCAAGAGAGCTCCCTTAGGCACATTGCCTCATAATGCTCTTGCTGGGGCACCAACCAATCTCTTGGATGTCATAATTTTACTCATTTTCCAGTCCCGCAAGCAGTCCCTAGCCAAAACAGGGAAGCCAAGACCTGACGTTCCTGATGTTAAACACATATGAAAAAGGTGGGGGAAAAACCACACCCCAAAAATACCCACACTCGCTCACTCTCTCCTCTTCAGGCCATCTTTACACCTCATAAAGGAAATAAAAGCATGCTCACAATTATTTTTTAATCTTTGAGAATCATCTTTAAATTTGAAGGGATGGAAGAGGTTAGAGAGCTTTGTATACTTCTAAAAGAAATTATTGGTCCTTCTACATGCATGTCAATTGTGACGAAATACTAGGGTGATGGGTATCATAGAAATAAATCATCTTAATAGTTACATACCACAACGAATTATGAATTCAGATTATTACACCTTTGTGAAACTGTAGTTAAGGTTTTCCATTATTATTTATTACTATCGAGAGTAAACAAACGTCATAAAAATACAGTCTTTCAGATTAAAATCTGATTTACAGCCTTCTAAGGCAAGAAAAGAATATTGTTGTATATATTTAGACTTAAGAAATTGTTAGATTTAAAAAGCAGACATATTTAGAAGAGATAAAACCAGCTAAGCGGGTGGTGCAGTTATTGACGTTAATTTGTGTGTGTGGTTTCAGAGATGTGAATATATATATACACACACAGAGTATATATATATATACACACACACACACACACACACACACAGAGTTGCCCTAGTCTTAGCATTTTATTCATTAGAATCACTGTTATGGAAAAGTGTGTGTGTGTGTGTGTGTGTGTGTGTGTGTACACACACACACACACTTTTCCATAACAGTGATTCTAATGAATAAAATGCTAAGACTAGGGCAACCATGTCTACATAAGATCAGGATATTCTGTTAAATCTGCTTCACTCTGGACATTAACTGGCATAGAAAATTCTCACAACAGGAGGGATTTAAACAATCAAAAGCAAATTCAGTCATTTTTGAGTTGCAAGCATGCCAACAAATTGCTTAAGATACTAGTATGTTTCTTTAAATGGAGGCTTTGGTGGAAAATAGAGTATTTACAGAAAAAGCTATTTATTTAATCACCTAATCTGCAGCTTCTATTATATTGTTTCCCCTCTCGCATCTCCACACTTTGCTCCATCCTACAGCAGACCCAAGTAAATGTTCATGCAAGATCAAGTAATGAGATAAGGCCTCAGTCCCACAAAGATTTACACACATGCTTATCTTTACATACAGAGTAGTCTCCTGCTGTGAAACTGTTAAAGTAGTTACCCATTCCTGCGGTGGAATTATTCACAGTGGACAAAGTTAAGTATGTATATAAGCCTGGGTAGGATCAAGGTTAAAGGTTGCGCATTGGCTGAGATAAGCCACATTTGGAACATGAGTATCTCTGAGAGTTAACAAGTGGGATACAAAAATATGAGAAGTTTCAACAGGCTATATCAGGAATTGTTTGCCCTGCAAATTCAAAAATGACTTTTTAATAATATATCTACACTATGGTGACTAACTCTATTATTTGGAAAAAAATATACCTATATATTCATTTATTTTTGAGGTACAGCCAATGCATAATACACTTAAGCAGATCCACCACATTTTTATTAAAGGTTTGTTTGCTTTTTACATTTAGAGCTTGGAGGCATATTGGGCAAATGCAACATCTGCACAGATGCAGCTGATTTAATTGTTAAGGTAAATGAGCTACAAATTGAGGACTCTATGCAATGATTTACATAGGGAGCCAGCATGATTCATCAGATAGGTCACCAGAACGGGAGCCCATTTTCCCTTCCATTAAATGGAGAGTATTCCTGCTGCTGACCAACTTTTATAAAGACTTTGAGATGTACAGCTCTTTGCAAGGGCCAAATATTATTACTGTACCAAAAATCCCCTGCTGCACCACAACATTGTGCAACCACATGGCCTAGGGCCACAATGTCAGCCTGGATTTTCAGCCACAACCCTGAGTTTCTTGGTCTGTGAGCTGAAGTCAGATCTCAATGAGTTACTTATTAAGAGTGCTGGTGGATGACAAGTCAAGTGGCAGATTAATTCCTATAACAGTGGGAAATGAGTTAATTCATTACCCAATGTACTTACCAAGAAATTACCAGGTATTGGATCAGAGAAGGAAGCTGGGGGAAGGGATGAATTAGGTCTTATCTAATGAAAAGTGCAGCAGAAGGATCAAGAGAAGAACTGATTGAGATAGGACGTACTGAGAGGGATAAGAGCTGGAAATGGAAACCTATCAGCTACTTGGAAAGGAAAGACAGCAGTGGGAGAAGGAGTAGATCCGTATTGGCTGCTGCTCCTGGAAAAAGAAAGGAAGAAGAAATAAAGAGGGGGAAAGAAAAGGAAGAAGAAAAGAGGAAAATAGACACAAAGGAAGAATATACATTGCTATGGTACTGACAGCATTCCAAGAGGCTTAGACAGAGGACACTAGCAATACCCATTACAGAACACAAAAAGGATTAAAAATATTCTTAAGCAATTGAAATGCCTATCGTTTCTGCTAGCTCATTACTAGACCGGCCCTTGTGAACAGCACACTTCTGATAGGCTGAAGATTCTGAACAACTTTACCAATCCTCTGACACAATCTATATATTTCTATTGTCCCAAGTTTTGCATCTATTACAAACCTGCTCTTTTATAATGGTTGTTGCAAGGATAATTAAGCAGGCTGCCCCAAGGGCATGCTACGTGGGCAGTGAATTTTATGAACAAGATACAGAGATTTGTGTTTGTATAGAGATGATCTCTGAATAGTGTCAATCAAAACAAAGAAATGTGCCATCAAATGCTAAAGGGACCACTATGCCATAGCGGCAGAGTCCTCTGGCACCTTATAGACTAACAGACGTATTGGAGCATGAGCTTTCGTGGGTGAGCTTCGGATCCGACGAAGGGGGTATTCACCCACGAAAGCTCATGCTCCAATACGTCTGTTAGTCTATAAGGTGCCAGAGGACTCTTTGCCCTTTTACAGATCCAGACTAACATGGCTACCCCTCTGAAGCTTGACACTACGCCACAGTAACTCATATACACTTCATAGTACCCTGAACTCACAGGACAGAACTAATGAATACATGCAAGATTCCAGCCAACTGGGCATTTTTTGTGGATGGATGAACAGGGCAGGGTTGATTTACAACCCCAAGTAGGGAACAGTAACTTGAAAAAATTAAAACCTGGCAGTCTGCTCTCCTTAGAGGTGTGGGGGTTTTTTGTTTTGTTTTTTCTGAGGCACTGAAATGTACTTCAGTAGCTGTAAATTTCCATAATACGAGAAAATGCATCTGAACTCTGAGAAGTGTTTTTGTAAAAATGGCACCTTCTTACTTCACAGATCTGCTCTCTGAGCTGTACTGTAAGGGCTCGCTTCCATGTCAATAAGAAATTATAGCTATTTTTACACCTGTAAACAAAGTCCATACATCTATTGGAGAGTGAACTTCCTTCTATTCTGCCTCGTACAATCAATAGTAATGTTAACGAAGCTTCTACTGCAGGATCAAATTCTGCGCTGGGTTATATCTGCGCAACTCCACTGTTTTCAGTGGGGCTTCTAAGTTATAATTGAGAGCAAAGTGTGGTTTCAAAATCTTTATACTTTAAGAATCAAGTTTGACTTTCAGACCTCAGATGCATTTGCTGGGCTGGCAGTTAGAAAAGCCATGTCTGATCTTGGGAAGAGAGCAAGCTTATTATGGAAATCAATAAAAACAATAAACATGGTAGCCCACACATTGCCATTTTTGAGTAATTTTACAGAGCAAAATGGCACTTTAAACAAAAGTGGAGAGACGGGCCTAAACAAACTCGGGATCCAAATATCACTGAACCTTGGAGTAAGATCAGAACAGCTTTGAACTTTGCAGAGCTCAACTCTAAGCAAAACAAATGATTTGCATTTTCAAAACAATATTTTTCCCTCTAGATTTCACATCATACAAATTACTACCATTAAATTTACTAAACTTAAAAAATATATACAAAGGAAAGCAAGACAATAAGGTGAACTAAGATAAAGCATGTTCTCACTGGCTTGAAGAAAGACTTTCAGTGTTAAAATCGGCAGCACTTCAACAGTCTGAGTCACTTTCACATATCCCTTACCATATCCGAAATGCCTTGTAAACAAAACCAAAAGATCTCACCCTCTCTCACTGCCTACCTACTACTGCTGCTTTATCCTGCAGTTCAGTCATAATGCCCCATCTGTGATTTTACCATCATTTCCATGGTAATTCTCACAGGATTTAGCAGCAGCAACAGAAGTAGTCAAATAGGGAAAATGATGGGAAAGGAAATGTAGAAAGTTATAAGATTACTCTTTGTGTAGAAAATAGTCTCCTTTCCCCCATTTACTCTGGTAGGAAAGTCTCTTTTGATTTGGAGTTAGAATAAGAAAAGGCACAATAGAAACATACAACACTATTTTCCAATGGGACTCCACGAAACAGGAATCTGTAGCAGATTACTATAAAACTTGCCTTAAAAACTCATGAACTGGCCAAAAATCTCCTACATCAAGAAGAACCAGACCCCTAATACATTCTACACACCTACTGTTTGTGTACACATCTATACATTATATACACATGCATGTCTTGTATGTGTGTGCAAGTATATAGTCATGCAACACAATATGTATCTACTCAATTCCCTGAGAATGTCTCCTACACAACTAATACACACACAAATAAACAAAGTTTTGTACAGAATAATATAATTTCACACAAAATACACATGTAAAAATGTTATAGTTGTCAAATGAAGCACTGAAAAGTTTGGAAATGTCAAAATTAAAATTGTTCATGCAACTTTAATTCTGCTCCTTTGGGCATATGTGTTAAGACACAATTTTTAATTACATGATCACCCATTTGTCCATAGGACCACTGCCTCATTCGGGGCACTGAGTGTATGGTGCACAATGCACAAAGTCTCACTGTTCAGTCACTGCACACCATCCTAGACATGAAGGATTCTCTGGCGCTTTCAAGGAGCCCTTCTACATTCACTGAAATGGCTTCCATTTCCAGGTGTACTTTTCCTTTCTGCATGAGATGAGGTAGGACTGCTTTGCAAGCTGTACCTTAATACGTATGCGTTCACAAACATCTTTCAGAATGAGGCAGGGATCCTGCCACCAATATACCCCAAACAGTTGAGGCCAAGAGTTGTTAAAACAGTCTTTTCCCACTCTCTTACTATACAAAAATATCTGAACCACTTTTGGTTGTACTTTCCAGAGTGATTTGTCATCTGGCAGAGATGAGACATGAAAAATTTAAGCCTGAAAGGTGAAAGTTTGTGAAAGCTTTAAGCAAATGAAAAAAAATAGCACTTTGTAACAGAAACTCTTATATAACCTTAAGTATATAGCAAATGTTGCAACGTGCTCTCACTGGAAGATACATGAAGTAGGACCTGCTTTTTCACTTACACCAGTAACATGCCATTTTAATGAGAAAACGACAGGAAAAATAGTTGTAGATGGTATTGTTGTAGCTGTGTCGTTCCTAGGATATTACAGAGACAAGGTAGGGGAGGTAATATCTTTTACTGGACCAGCTTCTGTTAAACCCTCTCTGAGCTCACACCCCTAGTTGTCACTTACTATCCCACAGTGGAACCCATAGGGAGTATCATCAAACAACTACAACCCATACCTGATGGGGATCCCATCCTGAAAGAAATCTTTCCTGAGCCCCCTCTTCTGGCCTTCAAACAACCCCTCGACCTTTCCAAGCTCATCGTTAGAAGCAAGCGCCCTTCTGACCAGGACACATTAACTCAAAAGCGGCACCAGACTCTGCCAGAACAACAGATGCAAAACCTGCAGACATATCTCCACTGCTACAACGATCAACACCCCCCACAACACACCTTTCAAGATGTCTGTCACAACATGTGGGGTACCTCATCCAGTGCACGAAATGCCCCAAGAACTATGTGGGTGAAACCGATAGTCACTATGCTCTCGAATGAACTCACACAGGAAAACGACAAAAGACAAAAACACCCTATCATCTGTGGGTGAACACTTCTCACAGAGCGATCACTCTATGGTCATGTCTACACTTCACTTTCATCGTTAAAATTTTCATCGCTCAGGGGTGTGGGAAAAACACCTCCCTGAACGACAAAAGTTGTAACGATAAAAAGCGCTGGTGTGGACAGAGCTTTGTCGGTGGGAGACGCTCTCACAGAGACGAAGCTGCTGCCCCTTGTTGGGGGTGGTTTTATTTTGTCGCCGGGAGAGCTCTCTCCCAGTGACAAAGAGCGGTGTGGCCGCAGTGGCACAGCTGCACTGTTGTGAGGTGCGCAGCGTAGGCATAGCCTGTAGCTGACCTATTGGTCCTCCTCCTCAAAGGAAACCTGCACCACACTTTCACAAGATGGGCCTGGGAGCTTAAAGTCATAACTTTGCTAGACACTAAAAACCATGGACTCAGTGGACACTGGATTTATGTCTTATTACAACAATCTATTACCTAAAAACAGCCCCCCAAAAAAGCTCCTTTCCCCCCTATGACTGAAGGGGTGTTAAGAGGCCTCTTCGCCTTGAATGGTCCTTTGAAATATGTGTTAACTAATTATGCTAAACAATCGGTTCCAGCTTGTGTTTAGCTGTGACATTCTGAGTGCCTTTCCCAGACCTGAAGAAGAGCTCTGTGTAAGCTTGAAAGCTTGTCTCTCTCACCAACATAAGTTGGTCCAATAAAAGATATTACCTTATCCACCTTGTCTTAGGAAGAAACAGTGTCCACTCTACAGTATGATACATTCTGGTGACTGTACACCATGGATAAAATTGCCCTACCCGTCAGTTTAAAATTATGCTTAGTGTTACTTGTATAGACAATGAACAATAGCTTATAGTCATCTGTGTGCTGTCTGCAGTAAATATCCTGCTGTATGGCCCTTTGACTCATTTAGCAGTCATATTATAATAAGGGCATGATCCAAAAATGGACAATTTTGATTCAGTCCTTCAGTGTGTCAATATTTTCAATAATCCTCTTTTTAAAAAGGCATGTTTGAAGTAAAAAATGAATACTATACCTCCTAGCAGAAAATATTACCTGAGCCTCTGATAATTAAGACAATAATTTAGGGCCCAACCCAACTTCCATTAATCAGATTCTTACTTGCCATGATTACATTACTACCAGGATGTGTCATGAGACTTCTACTGGAAGCAATACCCACTGCTGAAATGCTGCCACCTCTAGAGTGGAATAAGGCACATGATTTACTACTACTTGCAACACTAAATGGAAGTTTAGGACAGACAGTGAAATAAATGATTTGACTGCAACTAAAGAATAATAACTGTGAGAGAGAGAGCAAGGACTGTAAAATATCATGATTTCACGCAGTTTACCTTGACCTTAGAGGATGAACTTGACTGGATGGAGAGATATCATCAGCTCCTGGTAAAGCAGTACCAGAGTCATCTCTCTTTAAACCCTCATTTCTTGTCACTTGCACATAAAAAGGAAACACAGATAAATTAATACCTGAATGGGCTAGAAACCATGTAAAGGTAATCCTACCTAAAATTCAAGGATTTATCAGACACATGAGATTACTTAGAAAGGATCAGTTTCATATGCACTGCACAATGGCATTACAGTATTAGAGAAATTGGCGTTGGGAAGTCAATTTCAGTTTTCAAAGAGATCCTGTTGTTTTCCCTCTGATGAGAGCTGCATAATCCTTTGAAGAAACACGTTTGCAAGGGGTTTAAAATACCGAATTGTTAATATACTTCTGTAACTTCAAATGTTTCATTGTCAGCTGAGGCTTGAGACATCTGAATACGAAGAGGCAAAACCGATCTATAGAAAGTTATGTGCCCGGAATAGTTTCACAGCAGCTGGTTAAGATTATCTGACTCAGAACAAGGGAGTTAAACATCACTATCTTGTGGAACTTCCACTTTTTATTTTTGCCTCGATTCTTCTCCCTCTCCATGGTTTATGAAATACTGGATTCTCCTTTTTGACAACAGAAGTCCTATTTATTAATGTGATCTCCATGAGAAAGTCAATATTTACTTATAGTAACATCAGAGATACTGCAGTTAGGGCACAATTCTGCAAGATGCAGAGACCTCTATTTTTAACTCCCACTGTCCTCAACAAGAGGGGATGGCCCAAACCTGTCACTTTGTGGGAAGTACTCAGCAGCTTGCAGAATGTATTTCCTAAGGATATGAAAACAGCAGCAGCATTCTCAGATATGCGTCACTGATTACTGCTGTGTCATCTAAGTGGTTCCCAAACCTTATTGGTTCACATGTCCACTTCTTAAAAAATTGATGTTTAAAGTACCACATACAAATTTCTGTGTGTGTCCCCATTTGTTTTAGGTCTTAATAGACTTAAATACTTCCAGACTCTACAGTAAAATAAAGGCCCAAGAAAGCCTAACGTGTTTGATTATAACTACGGCTAGCCAGAAAACAAGAATTCCATTTTGTGAAAAACTTTGAGGTGTCCATATGTTTTTGTTCTGTTGTGGAACAAAACCAAGACCTTTTGGAACCGAAAGAGAGAGACCACCCCAGAACAGCTAGTAGCTTGGTGCTTAGCACTTGTACCTGTGACATAGTAGACCCAGGTGAGTACCCTAATCACAGAGGTATTTCTCTGTATTTCTCTCTCTGGTTTTGACTAGAAATTCCATCCCAGGCCTGAGAAACCTTCCCTACAAAAAATTAATCAAAAGTAATACGTTTCTGCAGAAAGTTTTGGTTCCGATGAATCAGTATTTCCCAACAAAAAAGTTTCAAAAAAGTTCCCGACCAGCTCTAATTAGAACATCCTTTTTATACATCTCAGGTTTTTTGACAGGGCATGAAAAAGAAACACAATGAAGCAGCCATTATTATGTACGATTTGTTAACTCAAATTACAAGAAACATTTATGATGTCCTGTCATATTTTGGTGTGTGCTACTGAACTATGTCAATGGTTTGAGTCTGTAACTTGTCTAATTTAAATTGGAAGTTCCTGTTAATTCTGATCTGGATTATGGCTGAACAGGAGCTAGAGTTCACATTGTTTGCCTTTACAAAATTTAAATCAATACAAAACATTCAGAGTAGTTATTAGGGAAGTGGGGGGCAGAGTGGCATTAATGAGAAGGGGGTCTGTGGGTAAAAGGGCAGGGGGCTCTGGCATGGTGCATCCAAAAGAGAGAAAGGGGACTCCCGGGGAGAGGGCTCTGGTACGTGTGTGTGTGTATAAAAAAAGGAAGGAGGCTCAGAGGTGGAAGAGCATGTGTGTGCGTGCGGTATGTGTGTGTGTAAAAAGGGAAGGGAGCTCAGGGGGGAAGGGCATGTGCGTGCGTGCGGGGTGTGTGTGTGTGTGTGTAAAAAAGGGAAGGGAGCTCAGAGGGGAAAGTATGGAGGCAGGGGAGTGATGGCTGGAAGAGGGGGCTTCTGCTCCAGGAGGCCTCTTGCTCCTCAGCTGCTCTGCCCCCTCCTCCTACAATGCTTGGCAAATTTCATAAGGGCTCCCCTGCTGTGAGAAATCTCAAATTGCAGCCAGCTGGCCACTCTACTGCTGAAGAGCCAGGCTTTCATCCACAAGCCCCAATCAACCACCGACATTCCCACCTTCCCTGTGAAGACAAGAGGGAATTTCCCATGAGCTTCCATCTCCCAGCCCTGCAGGGGCCAGACTGCAACTTCTGAAGGGCAGGAAGTGTAGGTAGCTGCCTGTGTAGGGGCCCTTCCCTCTCAGCGCTGAGGTTGCAGGTTTCGTAGCCACTCTGAACTCGCCCTGTGTATGACCATCTTTTTGGAGAAGAGGAGCTCCGGTGGCACAATAAGAAACTTCACGAGTTAGCCTCACTAGCTTGACCTGTGTGACTCAGGGAAAGCTGGAGGCTAGGCCAAGTAGAAAGCCAGCCAGCTGCACACCAGATGAGAAGACAGCACCCATCTGCACAGCCACACTGCACAACACACTACTAAAGAAAATTACTTTGTTGGCATGGTCAGCAAGTATTACTCATCATTATAGCTGAAAGCAGGCATTTTCTGGTGAGTTGCAGTGGGTGCATGGACTGTGTGTTTGAAACGGATAGGGGTCTGTTTGTTTGTTTGTTTATTTGAAGAGATTTTGGCATACCACTTCCAACAAGCTCACATACCACCAGTGGTACATGTATCACAATCGGGAACCTTTGATCTAAGTACATTAAAGTCTTCTCCATTTTTCCCAAAGATTGGAAAACATAACAGTAGTTACAAGGAGCAACATATTTGCAGATGTAGCCATTATGGCCAGAATGCAATTCTCATTTCAAATGACATCAGTGGAGATATAATTACATGCACTGAGATTCAGTCACCATACAGTTCTCAGATGAGATGGAAATGCATTTACCAAACCGTTTGTCTATAATTTTCCAATTATAATATCCCAGAACTGAAATGCATTCACCTTTAGGAGTTTATGCAATCACAGCAAGTGATTTGCTCTCTCAAGGTTTTGCAAATTTATTTTCTCTCTCTTCCAATTGTCTCGAAGTAAATACCTTTGTTGTTCTTTGTAATACTAACGCAGACAGAACAAAAAGTCAAACTGGTAAATGACTAATTACCAGTAAAATATTAACGGTTTCAAGTGAAAAACTTTGTGCTGTGCTGGCTATATTATGTAATTCCCTGTAATTCTGACCATATCATCCCATCTTCTAAGCCTTTTTCACTGGCTTTTGCTCTCCTTCCACAGTTTGGTCAAGCTCTTTGCCCTTACCTTCGAAGCTCTGTACAGGTCTATACTGTTACTTCTCTGCTTCAATTCACTCTACACCCTTCTTGCTCTCTGTGCTACTCCATTTCCTCTCTCTCCTGCATGCTCCTTTTGTCTACTCTTGCATTCCTGTCTTTTCATTAGCTCAGAACATCTTCTCTCATCTTGTGCATAGAAAAGCCTCCCGCACTCTCTGGACACTAACCACTTTCCCTTCACTTCAACACTAGCCTCTGAAAGTCCCCGCTTTCACAAAACTTCCCTAAAATTAAAACCTCCACCAATGCCTCCATACAGTTGTCTGGTATCACACATCTATCTGAGTCACAATATAAACTCAGTGGGCCAAAATCACAGAAGAATTTAGCCTCACGTCTTTCATAGAGGGCTATGTATAGTTATGGCTATGTACAGCTATAAATACTACTGCTACTACTGCTGAAAATTCAGAGGACATGACCAGTCTTATTTACAGCAAACATTGTAATAAAATGTTAATTATTTCCACCACTTCCTGTTGATTTCCCTTACGCATCTCCAATATTCCAGATCCAAACCTATATTAAACAGACTACAAATCATGCTGAACTATGTAAGATGATCTCATATAATTACATCTTCATACTGTTCTCAATTACCAGATTTTCTAGTGTAGGTTTTTGTTTTCTGCATACTCATCGGATTTTCTTTTAAATCTTCCGTGTGTGCATTTGTTTACTTTCTTTTGAGTTGGTCTTTATTTTATTTTTCACAGGTCTTACCTTGTCTGCAATCTGGCTCAGAAGAAGTAACGGATGGACTTTCACTGGAGGTACTATAGACGTCGCTGTAGTAAGATCTGTACCTTCTCAACGGTTCTAAAAGTTGAAGGCAAAGTGTTAGGAAAGCAAAGGAACAACAATTCTTAGGCAAAATCAAATGTGAACGGGTATTTTAAGCGACCCCCTCAGAACGTCTAAACATTTCTGTGGCCACAGTTTTAAAACATAAAAACAGTCCCTGAATATTGTGCTGCCCCATCCTGCCTGAATATCCTCCTTGATCCTGCACACTGTTCAGTCTCCCTTACTTCCTTCTAATCTCTCAGCAGACCCACCTCTTTCCAAACTCTCTTCTACAATGACTCTCACAGTAAACTTATCACTGTTAGTTCAACTAAAGCCAAAGCTTTGTTACACAGCTGGACAGTACTGAGTACAATGGAGCCTTGATGCTTTTTGGAGGGAGGGGGACTCAAACATTTTCGTAATAAAAATAAAATACGTATTGAAGCTGTGGCAGAGTGGGATATGATACTATGTACTCTATTTTATACGACATGTGGAAATACTGGCACTAATGCTTCCCTAGTCTGGTCTTGTCCTGCATCCCAGGCAGCTGCCCTGGGCCCGAGACAGGTTTTTATTTTTTACATCATGTTGAAGGACCATCATAGAGCAATCTGGGGTTCTCTCTTTGAACGAACCAACTACTGGCCCACCCATGACATAATGGTCCTTCAACATGAAATCTCACGAGGGACATGAAGGAAAAGGATGACTGGTGGATCAGGAGCTTCTCAGTTTGAGTACATGGCACAGAAAAGGGTGTATTTCACAGCAGGGTCTGATCTGTGCAGGGAGCCGACCATCATGAGACACAAGAAAGAGGGCTGGAGGGATGCTGCCCAGCCTAAAACACAGAAAAATTTCAGACTTGTAAACAAGGTGAGCTCAGACTAGAAGAGGGTGGGCCTCAGGACTTCGTCAGTTTCAATTCTCTGTAACTCTGCAATGCTTTAAGAGTAAAGTGAGTGAAATTATGAAATTCCTTCACTAAGCCTGTGTTCCTTGCGTTCCTGCTACACACCTTGTCTCTGAAGGGCTTAAACAAGTAAGCCCAGAGTGACCACTGCCTAGGCAGGACTGAGGGAGCATATGGAAGCACCTGCTGGGGCTCAGGAGGTCTCAGGGCTTGTCTACACCACAAACGCTACAGCAGCATAGCTATCACACTGCAGCTATGCCAGTGTAATGCCATCATGTAGACACTTGCGACAGCAATGGAAGGGGTTTTTCCATTGCTGCAGTTAATCCACCCCTTCAAAAGGCAGGTTGATGGAAGGATTCTTCTGGCGACCTAGTACTGACTACACCGGGGCTTAGGTTAGCTCAGTTACATCTCTCAGGGTGTGAATTTTTCATACAGTTTTCATCCTATTTTATGTAAATCTATCTCCCTTATGTTCCACCCTCAAGCTTGATGTCATCTTTTCCTGCATCACGTCATGTAATATCTAACCAACTCTAAAATCCTCAGTGCAAGAGCCATATCCTAATTTTCCTCTGTAAAGGGCAATGAAGACTACTAAGGTTTTTATTAATACGAATATAAAATATTATTTAAATTACCAGTAAATGAATTTGTGTGTAGAACCACAATTTTGTAAAGCAGCACAGACTTATAGCCTTTCAGAACCAATATAACACTAACGTTACATCTTTATAGTGGTATTTTCCCTGTGGTGACACAACGGGTTTGTAATCACATGCTATTTCTGATTTTCCTTCAACAGTGTTCAGAATAAGTTTACTTTTTTTTAGCATAAACCATGACTGATCTAGACGTACATCGCTCATCTTTGCCTTACTCTCATATTGAAGTGTGCTCCAGCAAAGCTCAAATAGTTTCTCTGATTGAAAGCTAAATAAATAAAATCTTCCTAGTTCCAATGGCTTGGCATAAGGGCTGTAGGGAGGATGGTATGAAGAACTGAGAAGGGTATTCAGTTAATACTAGTTCAGACTGATTTAAACACATACATCAGGCTTAAAGAAAAGATTCTACTTCCTTAGCCCAAATGTCAAACATTTACTTTTTCTCAAAAAAGTTACCTGCCCTCAATTTAATACCAACTCCTTAAAGAGAGACAGTACACAAGCATTTTTAGTCTTTTTTCAAAAGGACAGAGCAACTCAGTTTATGCCAGCTGGTTGCCTGAATATGAAAAAAAAAAAAAGGGTTTAAGAAGATTGCTGTATATTACAATCAGTAACATTTAGCTATTTCACATATCGTAACCAATTATAGCAACACCCCTAGCTCATGTCAAGCAACGGATACCAAGACAGAAAATTACCGAGTTTTCTGCCACAATAGTTTGCAAGGAGTGGATCTAGTGTTTCAGATACAATAACTGTTATACATAGTCCTGTAGCATTATAAGATTCAAAGGGACACTGGGTCAGGTAGTGTTGCCCCAATATGTTGACTGTGTTTTAAAAACAAATTTCATTAAACTCTAACATACCAATATTCCTGTTGGGAAGGCTTCCTGCAATTGAGAACAACTACTAAAATAAATCTGTGAAAATATTTCTTATTTGTATATACAACATTCTCATCAGTATTTGCTACACAAGCACTGCTGCATTGAATGCATGAGAACCAGAAAGGGAAAGAGACTAGTTTGCAAGGTAAGTGAAATGTAAGAAATACAAAATGGCATGATTAGAGAAAAGAAAGGCCCCATTCTGCAAGTTGTTCTGTGCAGGCAAATTTTGTCTTGGGTTTGTAACAACTCCATGCATGTACCAACCACTTGTATATGTTTCAAGCAAGACTTCAGTCTGACAAGGCTGGCAAAGATACCGTACCAAAAACCTGGTACCAAAATACTGAACTCAAAACCACGGCCCCTCTTATCAGTAATTTGTTCATTATAGATTTTCAAGTGTGTTAAGCTGACTCCAGGCGGGAAAATTTAAAAGGTTTTAATAATCCATCTAGTCAATAATCTGGGTTTCCCAAACTGAGAACTGTGGCTCGGAGGAGTATAAAAAGGAATTATTGGGGGTGGGGAAAGGGTGTCACAAGGAATATAAAAATTTGCAACAAAATAAATTTCAAAGGATAAAAACCAGATACACAAGGTAAGACTTGTGGTGGTGTTTTCCTTTAGGGGACAGCAGGACACCTGACTCTACAAAGAGATGTAGGGCTTTACTGCTGACTTAGCCTGTTAGAAGGTGTTAAAACTCAGCAGCAAACTAGCAGGCAAGCTCCTCAGCCACGGAAGATAGAATAAAGCTCCAACCACCATTCGGTGTAGGTCTCTTTCTTCAAGGCTGGTTTTATTAACAAGATATGTAAAAAGCTCCAAATAATGCCAGCACTGTGTGAGAGCGGGCATTCCACCAGCTGGCAAGGGAAACTCTTTCCCCACAGGCCCCAGCCCCTGGTGCACAGGGAGCCTGCCATGGTTGGGGAGGGTCATGTTAAGGCAGGATGGGGAGTAGCTGGAGAGTGCTGCTCTTTGGCTATACCCAGCTGGCATATGGTCCCTGGGTCCAGGGCAGGGAATCAGACCTGCCCGTGGTTAGGTCTCAGCTTCATTTCCCCCTCTGCTGGGTTGTTCTGAGTGGCTGTGTGTTGGGAGGGATCCCATCTTTGCTAGGGACTCTCCTAGGCTCAGGCAAAGCCAGTTGGGCTCCTATCCTGTTCTCCATGGGGCTCCTATAGCCAGAATTACTCTCCCACTCCTCCCTCTGCAACGTAGCATGCGGGCAGACCAGCAGTGAGGAAGCTGCTAAGCAGTTGCAGAAGAGAGGAACAGCAGCTTCTTCCAGCACTGCCAGCTCACACCAGAGCTGTTCCGGGGGCAGTGGGTGAAGCAGTGATGGGAAGCAGCTGGGTAGCCTGCATCTCTTGTCACCTCCCTATGGTGAAAGGACTGATTCAGATGCTTCAGTTTGAGGCATCATCAAGGGTCATAGACTGGACTCCTCTACACTGTAAATTTGCTTACACTACAGTATAATACTGTATATTGCATCTACTATATTATTAATACTGGGCAAAATCATGAAATCTTTTTCTCAAGGCAAAATCATGAAGTCTTTTTACTCGGGCAAAATTCCCATTGACTTCAATAGACCACATTTGGATTTAACTTGGCAGTGGAATGAGAGTTTTGCCTGAATAAGTAAAAAAACCAGAGTTTCCCAACTCTCACAATATTCAAGCCTCACCTCCTGGCATCATCTGATTGATTATGTGGGAATCTTAGCTTTCATTTTAAAAATGAAAGCAAGTTTCCAAGGACTGTACTCCACAGACCACTCAGACTAGAAAGTCTTAACACCATGTCCCTCCGAAAGGCTCAAAACCAGAAACAAATAGAAAGAACCCAAAGTTTATTATTTTTGAAAAATATCATGATTTTGGGGGTTCCGACTTGTGAGTTCTGAATGCCTGTAGTTAAAAATGTTGAAATATTGAACAGGGATTTCTGGATTAAGCCCACTCTGCAGTAATATTCACATGTTACACAAATTATTACACTACCCATTATATTGTTTCTTGTATAAACTAATGCAATATTGTAATGTTTAGATTTCAGTGTTGTAACTAGGGTGGAGTCTCCTAATAACCATAATGTCTCAATCATTTAACATCTTAGTAGATCCACCTTGAATTAAAATGTCTTATAAACAGAACTGGTGAGCTGTTAATTAAACTGTAAATTACAATGAGGAGCAGCCACAATCTAGCAGTGAACAAAGTATTATGGCTCGCAAGCCAGTGCACATGGTTTGCACTTTTTCAAGCTGCCTGTCAAAATCAGGAAAGCACAACCTTACAGCAAAGCACTTAACACTAACAGGACACACCAGGTACCCAAGGCAAGATATGCAAGCCCAGACAAGTAACACACAGAAAGGCTCATCCCAGCCAACTGCACAACAGAAATCAAAGACCCACATTTAGCATAGAATTTTGTCATCCTGAACACATGACTCAAATTACAGAGATACAGGTTTTCAAATGCAGTATTACAAAAATTACTGGCTTTACAAAGCATAGAGAGAAGGAGAGG